CATTGTTCTTGTGAGAATCTCTAGTAATTAAAAAGATTCAATTTCATCCAATAATTTTCAATCGAATCGAATTACAGTCATAATAATATTAAAATTATTTTAAATCTAAGAAATTTTTTCTATTATATCTAATAAATTTTATTTGATAAACCGTAATAAAATTAACTTTGTTTTGAATATTAAGTGCTGTCGAAATTATTTCGAAAAAATACAAAAATTAAGCAACTCATTTTGAATTTGTTATATTAAAAAATTAATTATAAAAATTAATTTAATTCAGAGAGATGAAGTTATTTTTGTACACCATTTTACATGAAAAAATTTGTTATATTAAAAAATTAATTATAAAAATTACCAATTCGTAAACACTAAAACATTCAATTTTCAATAGAAATAAATTATAAATAAATAACAGTAGTTTTTTGTAAAATTAATTTCTAACAAATTAGGGTTCTTGAACCAAAAATCAGAATACATAATAATTTTATTTCTCCCCTTAGTACAGTAAACAAGGATAATTAATTATTTAGTCTTATTGAAATTACTATCATATCCCAATTATTTGACAAAATCATTAATATGTTCTTGAGGGTTTAGTCTCATGAAATAATTTAGTGCATATATTTTAGAACTACCATTTTTTATTATTAATGAGAGACTAAATAATAACTATATATTAAATGTGAATAATTAAATAAACTATCTGGCGGCAAAAAAAAAACACTTTAAAATTAACAAATTAGGTAGTTTAACGATGTTAAATTTTACAAATGAATCTGTAATTTTACCAAATAATAAAAATATAATAGTAATTTCAATTAAAACTTAGGCCCTAAATAGCTAATTACTCTTAAACCAATTGTATTGTTATTTTTTTTTTGTGGGATATTATAAAAGATTCCACAAGGCAAAGCCTAAAAAAAGCTAGTAAGGGTAAAAACCCAATAGCCCAAAAGCCAAAAAAATGCAGAGTAGAAAGAATAATTTTGGGTTATGATGATGATTCCTGCTTTTATTCTATTACAGTGTCACACACAAAAACACATACACACAGTACTGTATGTATGGCATAGTCTAGTCACTCACATATACATTTAAGGCCCCACCTTCTATATCATATCATCCATTTCTGTGGATCCCACTGGTTTTGCATTAGAGTGGGACCTACTTTTACCAAGGACAGTGTGTGTGAGCGGTGTGTGTCACCACCCCCTTTACTTTATTAGATTGCAATCAATTAAAGATTAGGACTGCATTATCTATTAAGGAAAGAACTGGTAGTTTAGGGTTTATATACAAAACAAGTCTTCAATTTTGCTTTAATGCATATTTTTAATTCCTAATATTTTCATTTTTGCCAATGAAGATATAGCCATGAAGAGATCACAATTTTCATTTTTGCGGTTTTTAGCTCTTCTAATAAGTGCATTTCATAAAGATTAAATGTGTATTTTCATTTTTACAGAAATTATAATCTCTTATCACCGCAATAAATACTTTGTTGATTGTCCTTTAATAAACTTAAGAATTAATTTATATTCATAATTATAATTTCACGTATGATCTGATTAATCTGAGTTTTGTAATATTAATATATTCGTTTTTAATAAAAAAAACAAAAAAAATAATGATTTTAAAATTGGCATTGTCCATCACATAAAAATATAAAATATTTCAGAAATTAAAATGCTTTGATTAATAATTAAAATTTTAATTTTAAAATTTAAAGATTTAAAATGTAATTTGGGTTAAAATATTAATAAGAAGAGTATGTAAACATTTCAAGACAGAAAGTTGGGGGGGTTTAAGTGTCAGTTTCATTGCTAAACAATTGCCAAAGCAGAGTCTTTGACCACGGCACCAACCCTACCCACATTTTTTTCTTTCTGTTTTTTTTCAAAAAAAAAAAAAAAAATTCTCAATACTTTTCATGCATAACAAAAGGTTTCCCTCTTTTAAAGGATCCAAAGCCGGATTTTATTGGGCCACCATTGACAGTAGAATCAATGAACTTATAAAGATTACATCTCTTTTTAACTAAAAGTTTTCCTTTAATCTTTTATAATTTGATTTTCAATTCTTTGATCAGGCAATATTTTGAAGATTCATGTTTTAGAGGGACAAAATTATTCCATGTATCGTATATATATTAAAAATAAAAGATTCATATAGTCAGTTTTAATTAATTTGAAGATAAAATTTAGGTAAAATGATCAAAATTAAAATTTAATAACCGTATTGAAATTTGACTGCCAAGGACTACTAACAATTTTAAACCAAAATAAAAATTAATTATAAGAAATTATATGTTCTCCATGTATTTATATTCCTTATGGGTAAAAAATTGTTCTAAAGAAAACAAAATAGGTGAAGACACAACATGAGGGGAAAAAAAAATGAAGTAGCAACTAAAGAACAAAATGACTGGAAACAAAAGAATAAGAGTAGTGACAAGTGCTAAAGCATTTAATGTCAATATAAGTTCAAAACAATATTTTCCCTCTGGTAGGAATTTATGAACTATTATTGACCCTCTTCAATCATTGTCCTTATCTCTTCATGTCTTTAACTTTGTAATATTAACAATTTCCAATTAATATATATATATATATATATTTATTTTTAAAAAAATTGCTATCATCAGGAGATAAATTGATGTAAAGTAAAATAATGGGAAAAAAAAAACCAAACTTCAACCTAATTGTCAAAGCAAATTACATCTCTTCTTCACTTCTGATTGGCTAAACTCCTTTTATTTAGGAGTTGGAAATAAATAATGTATAATTAGATTCAACTACCAACACCAAACCATTGCTATTCCTATTTTTTTTTTTTTTTTTCATTTTAGTTAGAATTTTAAAAAATGAATATCGTAACATTGACTGGCGATTTGAAAAGATTAACAGGATATGGATTTTATTGATTCAATTTATATTTTACAGAAGGTGGTGTGTATTTTTTAAGAATAAATTGAAGGGATCTGTACCCCGTAGAAGAGCCATACGGCATGTACTTGTAGTAACAAAATAAGAAAGAGTTAATAGCGACAGCGTTGGTTCTAACTTGTTGTTTTCGTTTTTTACTGCTTAATTCCAATTAAATTTATACTGTTAAGTTATTTATTTTGATATATATACAGATATATCTTAAAATAAAAATTATTACTCCATCCGTATCATAAAGATAAGTTTTTTTATCTCAAATTATAGACAATTTAAATTAAAATTAATTTTTTATTACTCCTCACATTAGTGAGAAGATCAAACAAATCACACATGAAAAATAGTTAAGAACTACTTTGCAGATGGTTTGATCACGAGCGGAGTAGACGCAAAAACTTATTTAACTTGTTTTCTTGCTTGGATTTGATCTTAATTACCTTATAACTCTTTTCTTATATTAGGAATAGGTTCATAATGATATACTGTTTTACTAGATTTTTTTCACTTAATATTACGGAGTTCAGTTTGGGTGTATGGGGACATCTGCTCCAGGTATAGATGCTTGATTTTCTTAAGTTTTTCCTGGTAAAAAAACAAAGACCAGGTTTAATTGATATCGATCATTTTCCTATTTAATTCTTTATTGAAAATGAAATCTAATATTAATATATCAATATAAAAAGAGGTATATTAGAAAAATATAGGGCAAATTGGTTGTTTAAATAATAATATTATTTTCCTAATTTGTGTTAAAATTTTAAAATGGTAACAAATCCATTTTTGTTAGATTATTTTATTTTGACATTTCCAATTTTTCATCTAAAAATTTAAAGGGAAAAGGATGAACTAAGATTTATTTATGTCTAAAATATATATTCAAAAAATCTAATGATGAAAATTAAATTAAATGAAGATAAAATATCTTTTATATATAAAAATAAATAAAAATTAATTAAAAAATTACCGCCTTCTTTTCATAATTATAGTCCTAGTTTAACATTTGCACATATTAAGAATATACAGTTAATATATTAAATTATAATTTTCATGTAGTTTTTTTTTCCAATATTATTTACTCACTTCATTCATTTTATCTGTAGGAGCAATAGTTAATTTTTTTCAATTTTACCTTTATATTCTCCCCTCTCTCAGTTTTATTGACAAATTAATGGTAAAATAATTATTTAAGATTTTTCTTTTGAAAAGATAATTTTTAAGATTAGAGCAGCTAGTTAAGAATTAAAGAGTATTTTGATAATTTAAGTTATTTAATTGTTTTCTTAATCAACATATAAAAACATTAAAACAATAATAAAAATGGATGAAGAGAGTGTTCTATTATAATTAAATGACTAGTATTAAATTAAAATTTTAATTTTTAAATGCAAGGATGAAACAATCAAAATTGTGGAGTTCGCCAATCTTAGTGGCAACATTAATGATTTTGTTGATATACATATTTTATTAAAAAAACTTAAGAATTTATGGTATTTTAAAAAAGAAAATAGAATTATAGCATGGAATAAGTGAAAAAAGAAACTAAAATTATAAGTGAAACGAATGTAAAAAATAGAAATTAGAACAGAAAGATAAGTATAAAATTAAAATAGACGTAGTAATAAAATGAAAATTATTTTAATAAATTATATGTAAAATGAATATGCACTTGTATGGACAAGTATTTAATAGTATGAAATAGCATAGTTGTAAAGTAATTATGACAGCAATTTCTTGTAAGGAAAACACAATTAATTATAAATAGTGAATAAATTTATCCATTAATTTATTTTTTCTTTTTGAGCATAAACTAATCCATTAATTTCAATTTGGCCACAAATGAAACAATCATCAACGAAAACAATCTTGCACCGAAAAAAAGCACAAAACAGAGCCACACAGGTAAAACAAAAATTGGACAATTTCTTCTTAATCTTACATATATTGACTAATTTTTCATACTCAGTGAGTTTCTCTATTTAACGAACAATAAGAGTCCAAAACTAAAATAAATGAACCTTTTTGGCAATTATGAACTCAGATTAAAATCCACTACAAAACAAATATTTAAATCTTAACCCTCTCCTTCCCCTTCTCCTACACACTACTCTTTCCCCTTCTACTCTTCAGTCTGTTCTCGTTTCTTTCTTTCTGTCTTCTTCATTCTCCTCTTCTTCTTCAAAAAATCAGAACCCAAAAACATTTCAGCAAAATAAACAAAACCCAGAAAAAAAAAAATGAGACTTCTTCTTCTTCTGTTTCTCATTCTCCATCTTCAAATCTGCACTTCTTTTGCTCGTGTAATGTCTGAATACCAAGCTCTTCTTTCTGTAAAAGCCGCCATTGATGACCCTCAATCAGCTCTTGTTTCATGGAACTCAAGTAACTCACTTTGCTCGTGGTCTGGCGTTACCTGTGACCCTTCTGGTCGTCACGTGACCTCTCTTGACCTTTCTAGTCTTAATCTTTCTGGTATTCTCTCCTCTGATATCGCTCATCTTCGTTACCTTCAAAACCTTACTCTCGCTGCTAACCAGCTTTCTGGCCCCATCCCGCCTCAGCTTTCCGCCATTCCTGGCCTTCGCTCCCTTAATCTTTCTAACAATGTTTTTAATGGAACTTTCCCTTCTCAACTCTCTCAGCTCAAAAATCTGCAAGTTCTTGACTTGTATAACAACAATATGACCGATGTATTGCCGTTGGCTGTCACCGACATGCCCAATCTCCGTCACCTGCATCTGGGTGGGAATTTTTTCTCTGGAAAAATCCCACCGGAGTATGGGAAGTGGGAGTTTCTAGAATACTTAGCAATCTCCGGCAACGAATTGGTCGGTCCTATTCCACCGGAGATTGGTAACTTAACCAGGTTGCAGCAACTCTACATTGGATACTATAATAGCTATGAAGGCGGTTTACCGCCCGAGATCGGAAACTTATCCGATTTAGTCCGGTTTGATGCTGCAAATTGCATGTTATCGGGAGAGATACCAAAGGAGATAGGAAAGTTACAGAAGCTAGACACTCTATTTCTTCAGGTGAATGGTCTTTCTGGGTCTTTAACAGAAGAGCTTGGCAACTTGAAAAGCTTAAAATCCATGGATTTGTCCAACAATATGCTTACCGGAGAGATTCCGAGTTCGTTCTCCGAGTTGAAGAACTTAACGCTGTTGAATCTTTTCCGTAACAAACTCTATGGAGCGATTCCGGAGTTCATCGGTGATTTACCCAAGCTGGAAGTGTTGCAGTTATGGGAAAATAACTTCACAGGAAGTATTCCACAAGGGTTGGGCAAAAATGGGAATCTTGTCCTTCTAGATCTCTCTTCAAACAAACTCACCGGAAATCTTCCGCCGAATATGTGTCTCGGTAACCGGTTACAAACTTTGATTACACTTAGTAATTTCTTGTTTGGGCCGATTCCTGAATCCCTTGGAAAATGCGAGTCATTGAGTCGGATTCGAATGGGAGAGAATTTTCTAAACGGGTCGATTCCAAAGGGGCTTTTTGGGTTACCAAAATTGAGTCAAGTAGAGTTACAAGATAATCTTTTAACTGGAGAGTTTCCAGTTACTGACACTATAGCAATGAATCTTGGCCAAATCAGTCTTTCTAACAATAGGCTTTCTGGGTCTTTGCCTCCTAGTATTGGGAACTTCTCTGGTGTTCAAAAGTTGCTTCTTGATGGGAATAAATTCTCTGGGGCTATCCCACCTCAAATTGGAAGATTACAACAACTCTCAAAGATGGACTTTAGCTCTAACAAGTTTTCAGGCCCAATTACACCTGAAATTAGCCAATGTAAGCTATTAACATTTGTTGACCTCAGTAGAAATGAGCTGTCAGGTGCAATTCCAACTGAGATTACAGGTATGAGAATATTGAACTACCTTAATTTGTCAAGAAATCATCTAATTGGCAGTATTCCTTCATCAATAGCAACTATGCAGAGCTTAACTTCTGTTGATTTTTCTTATAACAATCTTACTGGTTTGGTTCCTGGTACTGGTCAATTTAGTTATTTTAATTACACTTCGTTTTTGGGTAATCCTGATCTTTGTGGTCCTTATTTGGGTCCTTGCAAAGATGGGGATGGAAATGGAACCCACCAAGCACATGTTAAAGGGCCACTCTCTGCTTCTTTGAAGCTCTTGCTTGTCATTGGCTTGCTTGTTTGCTCAATTGCATTTGCAGTTGCAGCAATAATTAAAGCAAGATCATTGAAGAAGGCTAGTGAGTCTCGCGCATGGAAATTGACTGCATTCCAGCGCTTAGATTTTACGGTTGATGATGTTCTGGACTGCTTGAAAGAAGATAATATAATTGGAAAAGGAGGTGCAGGAATTGTTTATAAGGGATCTATGCCAAACGGTGATCATGTTGCTGTTAAGAGGTTACCAGCAATGAGCAGAGGGTCATCTCATGATCATGGATTCAATGCTGAGATACAAACTTTAGGAAGGATTAGACATAGACACATCGTTAGATTATTGGGGTTTTGCTCGAATCATGAGACTAATCTTCTGGTGTATGAGTACATGCCTAATGGGAGCTTAGGTGAGGTTCTTCATGGCAAGAAAGGAGGTCATTTGCATTGGGATACCAGGTATAAGATTGCTGTTGAAGCTGCAAAAGGCCTTTGCTATCTTCATCATGATTGTTCACCACTGATTGTTCATCGCGATGTGAAATCGAACAATATCCTTCTTGATTCCAATTTTGAAGCTCATGTTGCTGATTTTGGTCTTGCTAAGTTCTTGCAAGACTCAGGCACCTCAGAATGTATGTCTGCAATTGCTGGTTCTTATGGATATATAGCTCCAGGTATGATCGATTGGTTTTGGGGATTTATTTTCGTTTTTGTTTGTACTTTGTTTTTTTCTGTCTTAGGTGTTCTCATATCATTTCTTTTACAAAGTTCTATTATGTCATGATAATATTTGAATTTCCTAGATTAAAAAATTTGACACCATGATCATTTGTGTACAGATCTTACTGATGTCAATTTCAAAATTTCACTGTACTTTGGCCTATTTCAACTTTTGGGATCTATAAGCATGACGTGTGCTATTCAATCTTAATCAGTCCTTGGAAGTGGTTGGTTTTATCACAAGTCAGTCTAGGCTGTCGAGAAGTTCTTCACATTAAAAATTAAGTTTTAGTCATCTTAAAGTACAAAAATTGAATGATGTTTTTTCTTTGCTATTAAACCCATTGTCTTGTCTACTATGATGAAACCCTGTTCATGAATTAAGGTACGGCTTATAGGATATAAAACCAAATTATTATGATTTGGGCTTTTGATTAATCAATTGAACGATCCTAATTTTTGCAGAGTATGCGTATACGCTCAAGGTTGATGAGAAGAGTGATGTATACAGCTTCGGTGTTGTTCTGTTAGAACTTGTTACTGGTAGAAAACCGGTTGGGGAATTTGGTGATGGAGTGGACATAGTTCAATGGGTTCGAAAAATGACCGACTCGAACAAGGAAGGAGTTCTCAAAGTCCTAGACCCAAGACTCCCTTCAGTTCCACTTCATGAGGTAATGCATGTGTTCTATGTTGCAATGCTGTGTGTTGAAGAACAGGCGATAGAGCGCCCAACAATGCGAGAAGTAGTGCAGATTTTAACAGAGCTTCCTAAGCCACCAAACTCAAAACAGGGAGACTTAACAGTTACAGAATCCTCACCACAATCAGCTGCTACACTAGACTCTCCAAATGCAGCAACTACTAGAGATCAAAAAGATCATCAATCGCCTCAATCACCACCTGACCTTCTCAGCATTTAAAAGCCTTTTTGAAAGGGAAAGAAGGGGGATTGTTTGTTCTCTTAAATTCCAGGAATTGTGTTAGTTTCAATCTTGTGATATTTTATTTTCTTTCTTTCTTTTTTTTAATCTTTTGGGAAGGTTTGCTCTAACTTATTGGTATTAAGTTTGCAAGTTTTTTTGTGTATAGTAGGAGGAAAATTAAGGGTGGGAGAAATTAAGGAAGGGTTTGTTTATTTTCTTATAAAAATCTTGTCTTCAAAGTTCTCCATAACATCAAGTTCTAGCGGCACTATACTAATGCCAGCAATTGACCTCTCTGTGCATGCTAATAGCAGAAACTGTTCACCACTATTTTGTTTTAGCTCTGCGTAAAGTTTAAGGGAAAGAGAAGAAAGAGAGAGTCACGGTTCTTTAATTAGTTGGTTATTTTCTGAGCTGTAAGAGGGAAAGACTGAAAGAGACAGAAATTTGTTAGGTATAAAGAGAAAAAAATTTGGTTGTGGTTTATGAATACTTTTATTATATATAAAAGAGTGGATATGCACAATGGGCAATGGCGTGACCTTTCAATTGCCAAGATTGGTGGGGCTTTCTCTGGCTACTGCTGCTAGAGAGAGTGAAAGCTCCTTACCCCTGCCAATTTCCAGGTCTCTTTCTGTGAAATTAAATTGAACTAAGCTACATGAGTGCTCCTTTCCCTTTAAAAGAAGCACAAGTACCTTTGTTTTTATTTTCTCATTCAAGTCTTTTTTTTTTTTTTTGTGAATATACAAGTATAATAAGCACTCAGTTTCGGTTTGGTTTGAAAAAAGAACGTAATTCAGTTTTTATTTTTATCAATATAGTTCAGTTTGGAATCGAACCGACTGATTGGACGTCTCGGGTTACCATGGCGATTTGGTGGTGGTGGGTTCCATTTTTTGGTGTCTATGATCTGGAAGCAAATGAAGGACCTCCCCTATGTGAGGTTTTTGCCATATGCAATGCAAGTGACTCATGCAATGCAAAACTTGTTGTAGAGTTAGTAAGATTGTCCTTGAGGTTGTTGAATTTGGGAATCACCTAACTAAAGATTCTATTATATTTCAATAATTGCCTCCCTTAAAAAAAAAAAATGAAAACGACCAAAATACCCGCATCAAAAGTTCAAAAGTATCAATTCCATAGTTCTATTTTTTATAATGTTTCTAATTTAATTCATGTAATGTAACTTTTTATTTTTTATGAAAAATTATTTAAATAACTAATAATTAAATACTATTAAAACAGATAATAGCTACCAAAATAATTAATTTTACGTAACAAATATTTTAAGTTAGTAGAATCGTACATGTACCCAAGAATATATTCACATTTCAGTTCAATTATTAATTAGACCAAATTGTCCTTAATTGAAGGGTAAAGTCAAGGAGCAAGGGCACTTGCCCATATAAAAGGCTACCTTTACAGAAAGATTACCTTAGAAAGACAAAAGCCCACGTCTTGTTTGATAGTGTTTGTTGTATTTTCTTGCGTTGGAACTATTAGGTAAGGTAAGGTAAGGATGGGAAATAGGATATACTTTGTATGGCTGAGATGCCATGTGTTTTAGTGACGTGGCATGTCCCATCTCTATATATGTATAATGCAACGTAATAATATGGTAAAGATTCAGGTGGCATTGTATTTTGCCTTTGAGAAAGAAAGTATTTGATTGATGGGTTCTGTTGATTCTTCACCTAACATTAATTTGTGTTCTTGCTGATGTGCTGATGGACATTTTGATTTTGATAGGACCAAACTTTAATGTTTTTTTTTTTTAGTCGCTGCTCAATTTGACAATGATTTTAAATCTTCCCTTGTAGTAATACATTATACATAAGATAAGACTATTTCAATGGAGTATTTTGATCAATTTATTTTGTTTGAACAATTTTATTATATTAAAATTAAAAAAGTCGAAATTAAATTATGCATTAGGAGAGCTACTGTTTTATGATCCTATTAATTCAGATAATTAAGAATTTGTTTATATTATATAATTAAGCTATATTAATCGAACATAAAAAACAAATAAGAAGAGCTGAAATGTTCTTATGACGAACGTGCTCCAATGAGTCTTTATTATTGTTATTTTAATTAATTCTTGTACATAATAATAGCATTTTAATAAAATAAATAAATACTACTCCTATTTATTACTTTTTGCAGTCACGTGAAAAATTAGAAAGACAGACAGAGAACAGGAAGCTCTGCAATGGCCTCTTTGTCTATATGCACCATTTTAATTTTTTTTTTTCTTTTAAAAAGGACGAGTATAAATATCTTTTTAAATACTTTAATTTGTAAAGAAATACATAGATAAATAAAATTTAATTTCTACAAAACCGACAACCTTTCATTCCTTTTGTTTTTTATTTTCCCTTTTTAGGGCAGACCTTTTATTCTACTGTTTTCGATTATGCATAAAATCTGGCAAATCAATTTGTTTTCGAAATCAAAAATATCTCAAATTTAAATTTCAATCAAAGTTAAATTAACAAAAAAGAAATTATTACTTAATCATAATAATTATTATAATATTGGTGAAATCACTTTCATTTTCGATTGTTGATATGAATCAACATGTCTTCTTTTTTCCTTTTTGTGACATTTCCTTTATTTTGTTTTGATGCAGAAATAGCCATCAAACTTTTGGTGTCCAATTAGGTTTATATCTTCTTATTGTGGACTAAGAAGTCAATTATTTATGTAGCTTAAATAGGTGACAAATTAAGTAATCAAAACCTAATTCTCACCTAACCCATACACAAACTTCAAAAAGTAAGAAAATAAAATATTACAATCTTGATATATGGGTTATTTGTTTAATGCTGAATTTAAATTAACCGTTTATTGAATTGAATGATCAAAAATTAATATAAGAATTGATTGTTGAATGATTAAGAAGTAATATACAACGATACTATATAGTTCTAAGAGGCATTTTACTTTTTCAACTGATAAATTATATAATTTATTGAACAAGTTGTAAATCAAACTTTTGCATTTAGAAAAAGTTTAGTTTATAAATTTTAATAAATAATTTATTAGTTAAGATCAGATAAATTATCTTATCATTTGTTCTAAAAACAGAACAAATAATTCGTTAAGGATCTTTTGTTTGGATTGAAATCTAAATGTCGTATCGAAAATTATTGTTTTATTAAGTTGAATGATTAAGAAATAGTATTAAAAGCTAATTGTTGAATAATTAAGAAGTGACATATATTTCCAATCTATGAGATAAATTTATTTTTTTCATTTAATAAGTTACATAGCTTATTGAATCAAATCTAAAAATAATTTTTTTTTTATTCAGCAATAAACAATTTATTGATTCAATTTAGGGAAATAAACTTTATTCTTATTATTTGAATGAATAAATTTGGAGTTTTAATAAGCTATAATTAAACTAAAACTAAAACTTCTTATTATATTCAAAGAAAGAAAGAAAAGAGGGTGATTGATGTTTTTAGGTTAGAGCTAGTCAAAGAAATGACTAGTCCTTGATAGTTGATACACTAAAAATTAGAAAATAGTACATTCGATTATTGTTCAATCATTCATAGAGAATAGGAGAAGTAAGATTCTATTCCATGGTATGAAACCCTTTAAAACACCAAATGTAAAGGACAAAATTAATATTAATTGAATAAAAGGAAATCAATAATGTGATTTATTTGTATAAAAAACAACAAAAAAAAAGTATATTTCTTTTCTTTATTAAATAATGAATGTTTGAATGCTATGTATGTATATTTGATTTGAGCAATTTTCCTAAAGGAGCAGAAAATTTTGAAATAAGGAGAGGAGATAGAAAAAGGCTTGGAAAATGACAAACAACTTTTAAAAAGAAAATGCAACAAACATAATAGAAAGACTAAAATAGTTGTTCTTTTCTCTAACCAAATCAACCTATCTTTTTGTTACAACCATTACATAATATCTACAAATAAACATAATTTTTCTTTTCCCATCTAGTTTGAATCTGTCCACTATATTTATTTACTTGCTTTTTAAATTTTAATATCTCTTTTTCTTTTTTAATTCTTCAATATATTTTTAAAAAAATTAAAATATTGGTCATATGTTTTTTTCATAATATTATTTTATCATAAAATTAACAATCACTATATATAGACTTTTCAATTCATGATATATAATTTTGTAAAAAATATGAGTTTGAGACTTAACTTAATTGGGCATACTCTAAATCTTTTTAATTATTTTAGTTAATTATATATTTTTGAAGACCTTAAACTTAATTGCGGCATACTCTAAATCTTTTTAATTTATTTTAGTTATTATATATATATATAATATATATATATATTTTATTTTACAAATTAACTTTGGGTTTGTTTTTACATTTTGTTTTTTTTTATTAATTTTGCTGTAAATGCTAATTATTTTTATTTTTTTGCCAAATAAATACAATCATAGACTTATGCTTGATATTTTAAATTTATGTAATTTTAATTAAAATCTTTATTTTATTTTACTTTTACACATTAACTTGGTTTGTTTTTACATTTTGTTTTTTTTTTATTAATTTTGCTGTAAATGCTAATTATTTTTTTTTTTTGCCAAATAAATAACAATCATAGACTTATGCTTGATATTTTAAATTTATTATTTTAATAAAATCTTTATTTTTATTTATTCTGTCACAATTGGCCCTTTGCCCTTGTTTCCTGTTTGCAAGAATCATGGTCCCATACCCCTCTCTCCTTTCACTGTCTATCCCAACTAAAAAGATGTAGCATTCATCATAAAATACTTAGCAAAGAATCCACTTGCTTATTAGCTTATACGAACCTTAGCACTATCAATAATACTTGGTCTTCATCAATTTTTTGCTTTTTATATGAGAAAAAAAATATATTTCAAATGGGAAATTTTTTTTTCATCCATATAGTCACAATGTAATGGCTTCATAGATCAAGAGTATCACCTCATTTATCTGAAGCAATAATCAGGCCAGTGGCAGAATGATCAAATGCTTATATGGTGGTATGATATCATGAATTTCAATTTTGAAAGATTGATAATCTTAATTTCTTTATTTAGTATTTTTTTTAATTTATGGATATAAACTATGAAATATAATTAATAGGGAGATGCATAATAAAGGACATTTAGTTTGAAAAAAAATTTAAGATTTATGATATGAGAATATTTAGAGGGTCTATGCTAATGTGAATTGCTTTTATTTAATTGTCACATTTGATAAATGGAAATATTTTTTAAAAATGCTTTTTGATGCAAATGTCTATTTATAAGATGATCCAGAAAAGAAAAGAAGAAAAAGGATATAAGATGATCTGAAAATAATGCATTAGAGAGATTTTTAAAATGCTAACGTATATAAATAGATATATTATAAAAAAATAAAAAAAATAAATTTGAATTGAAATTAAAATTTGGACTTTGGACGGAAAATTTGGTGTGCAATAAAAGCAGGTTGAATTGAGAGGGAAAATGATAGGTTTGGGGAAGTGCACAATCTATTATTGTTTACGTGGCATCCCACATGTCACTCTTCCATTTTATATCCTATATTATAAATTTATAATATTATATAATTCAGGAGGTGCTCTAATCAAATCCTGAAAAATTAAATTTCGTAGTTTAAGGCAAAATGATTCTCCTAATACTATTGTTTGTCAAAATTTAAAAGTTCTTAACAGAAAAAGAAAAAAAAAATTACAACTTTGACTGAGGTTTGGTAGAGTGTCAAATTTTGTATACACAAAGCTGTATCACTCACCTTCCACCTTCATGTCTTTGACTGCTTTGTAACTTTTGGAAAGTGGTTTCCATGAAAACTTCCAGATTCTGAAATTCTAGGTTATGAAAGATCTTCAGGAAAACATGTGCATGACATTGTCAGTTCAATTAAGAAGATCATTGCGGAAACAACGTTAACATGCATTTCCACTGTTTATGAGGTATAAATACTCAATACGAAACAACTTATTTAGACCCGTCTATAGCCCGTTTTATAGACCAAGCTAATGAAATTAAAAATTATTCCATATGCAGCTGAGTGTGGTTTTTAATTTCAATTTGTATCAATAAAATCAAGCAGTTATTGTATTATTCCCCAGTCTCAAAATATAAGTCGCTTAAGGTTTTTGCACGAGAAGTAAAGAAACAAATAATTCTCCTAGGTTATAACAAAATCAAGAGTAATTTGACCAAATTATCCTTTATAATTACTTGTGAAAATATTTATTGTATCTAATGTAAATAAAGGTAATATAGGAAAAACATCATTTATTACTCTTTAAAATATTCGAAACGACTTATATTTTAGGACAAAATAATTATCAAAAAAACACAATTATAAAAAGGAAAAAAAAGGAAAAAAAGTGGCAAGACTTTTACATCTTGTAATGAAAATTTGAGCATAGGATTCCAAGGTCTATATTATGCTTCTAATTTATTAAAATTTTTTTTCACACTGTTTAGTTACTTGCATATAGTGCATAAATGTCTCCTATGGATTCAACATCATTTAGAATTATCCAACAACTCCCAATACTATTGTTATCTTGGAATGTAAAATATTAAATATACTAATAAATATAATATCTCAATTGGAATTTATACAAATAATATTATGGACCCATGAAAATACTATGACCAATAATGTGTATGTCCTTTTCCCCTAAAAGGTGAGCTTATATTATAATTATATGTACAAAGCATTGCCAATGAAAGAAAAAAAAAAAGACTAAAAGACACAAGATAAACATCTCCACACATTGTAGGTATGCAAAGGCTTTAACATTTTCTATAGAAACACAGTTAGTGGGTCCAAAAATTTTTTGCATATGTGACCCACTTTAGGGTTAGGTGGTAACATCACCAAGAAACTATTCCTTACATATATAATTTTCATTAATGCCCATTGTAATAGCTAGTGCTATAGATATATAGGACTTTCTAAGTGATTAAAGCAAGATTAATACAATCTTTGCAGAGCAATAAGGCGACATTTTAGGTGATATTGGAAAAGCAAAAGGAGAGACATGACAATATAGCTTTAATGTTCCTAACTTTTGAAAATTTAACACCAAGAAATGGCAGGACATAGGAGTGGAATTTTCTTCTTTTTTGTTTTTTTTGTTTATTTTTTAAAAAAGAAAGCTGTAAAGGGAATGAAAAGATTGGACTTTGGCCTAATATCGTCTAATAAATTTTAACATAAAGTAGAACATGTGCAATGAGGAGAAGAATGTAGGGACATGAGATATAATCAACACGGCCTCCAACATCATATCTCATTAACCCAAGTCCACTCCACTACTTGATGTTTTTTTTTTATAATAATATACACTTTTTATGTACCTTTTGGTTGAAAAAATTGGGGAAAAAGAAATAATATATAATACTGTGATTGTAAGCTGAGAAAGAGCATTGGGCTTGTTTTGTGGGGTCTTTAAGATAAGGAAATGGAAGGATTAGTTATAAAAAAAGAAAGGCAGCTTCTTCTTTAATCATGTCTAATGTTTCACAGGCTTATCATCTTCACTATTGTTAAAGGGAGATGAGTGTATTCTACATTGGCCTGTCAATTCCAAGTCAAAGATTTTTCAAATACTTGTTGTAAAGTACATGTTAATCAATTATATTTCATTATTTCATATTTTCTCCTGCCAAGAAAAAACTAAACTAGTGCATTTATTTTCTTTTTCTCATGCACACATGCAACTAAAGCATGAACAATGATGCTTCTATTACAATCATTGATAGAAATTGAAAATGAGACATTATAGCCCATAATAAGATTAGATCAATTTGTAAGAGTTTGGTCCTATCTTGTTGATTAGGATTTGAATTCTAAAATCAAACTATAGAAGGGCAATTTTTTTTTTTAATAATATAAATTCCTCAATTGTTAAAAACATTCTTCTAAAAAGTTTTTTTAATCTCTTTATTTTACTTCGGGTATGCAAAAATTTCAAAACTTTTCTATAATTAGTTGCATCTTTTAAGTTTGATGTCTAAGTTTTATGATTGGACATAAGTTTTTAATTTTATTTACTTGGTTTTGTTCACTTTCTTAGATATCCAGAGTTTGTTGACTCATTATTGAAATTGTTCTCTTCATCATAGTTTTTGTGAAGCTAATTGTTCATTTTGCGATGTTGGATCATTCTATTCCCTTCTCGTTGTTCGTTTGAAATTCTAATCCAGCTTCTTTGTCCTTAATTCTTTTAGCTGATACTCGTCGTATCAACTTCTTGAGTAGGTTTTCTTTCTTTGTTCTCTTCTTATGGATCTAAAGACCTTTGGTCTTTTAGACAGGAAATGGGCTAAAAATTGGCTTCAACATAGAAAACTTGAATTGATCCAGACAGACCCACATGCCTGTTAAAAGCTTTGGAGTTCTAATTAAAGTTGGCTCAATTTTGGACTAGATAAGACCAGAATGTTTCTTTCCCGTCTTTCCAAGCATAGAATCTCTAGCCAAAGGCCGAAGCCATCTTTGAAATGAGAATGTTCCTGTGCACTGAAAAGTAGAAAATATCTAATAATTTTCACAATCTCAGAGGCTTGAACCAAAGTCAGGTAACTGGCAAAGAAAGAACTAGAAAGCTACTTTAGTGGAAAAGCAGCATAAAAACTGCGTTCAAGTCAAATGAGGTAGAGTGCAACCAGCAAATCCAGCTTTCTTGGATTCCCATGGCACTGTCTTTGAAACTTCATATCTGTCTTACACACTCTTTCGTCTCTTGTTTCTATGATCATCTTTAAACAATGCACTCCTATAAAGATGATGGTCGCCCGCTGCAATTAATACCAGTTCCCAAGATAGAAAGATTCCCATTTAGAACTCAAGCAACACTACCAGATAAAAGCAATTAGTATGAAATCCATATTTCTTGAGTACAGAGTTGGTGAGATTATCTTGGAAACAAAAATTATGAAGAGAAGAGACGAGAATAGTTCCTAGCTTTGAAGTGCTTCTGTATTTATTACATAATTATCACCAAAGCCCTGTTGAAGAAAGCCCCATCACCATATTCTTACAATTGTTTGCTTGCCTTTTATGGACAGCTAAAACGAGATGACGCTACTTATTTCAAGGAACCCAGATATCGAGGAAATGCATCAAAGGAATAAAACAGGGACAGAAAATTAGAAATGAACCCTTGTTATTAGCCATGACTCATTTCCTGACAAATGAAATTCCCTTATGAATGCTTGCTGCTAACTCTTTCTTTGCTTTCTCCAAGCCGCTCCTGTTATTAATAAACAGATAAAATGAAATTTGTATCCAGATAACAGTTATTTTCAATCAAAAGAATTCTAAAAATTTGCAGACCTTTCATAGTCATTGAGGGGGCCAAGCGGATAGATTTCTTCAACACCAGTACGGCCAAGCCGTAACTTGGAAGCAAAGAAAGGAAGTTCAGTTACCTATATAAGGCTACACGTCAGAATACAACTCACACCTATAGGAGCAAAATAAATAAATATGAAAATGATTTTGCACCAATAGAACTGAACCCACCTGAGAAGCCACAAATGCACACTGGATGACACCAGCATCCCCCCTCATGCCGCGAAGACATGCGTCTGCAAATTTAACAGCAGCATATGCCTACAATTTTCATGTATATTTCTTCTTAGTCATATGGCATTACTTAACAATTTAAGTAAAAATAACAGAGAGATAATTCAGAGATTGGGGCTCTTGACTAACCATAGATAATGTTGCAGAACCAGATCCAGCTTTGGCCTGAAAATTGTATCAGAATGCTCACTCAAATAAATGCCAATGGATTAAAATGACGGGTATTGAAGAATGCCATCAACAAAGAGATAAAACGCAATACATAAATAGCAGAATTTAAGCTAATAGCTGCACTAATATGCTTATCAAATTTTCCTAGTATATTTTTGCACTGGCAGTTGGGTAGTAAAGTGATTAACTCACTCCTCAATAAAATGAAAATATTAAAATTCTAAATCAAATTAGCCAATTGATAGCACTACATATTACAAATATGTGCATTATTAAAGACGAACGATTTGCGAATAGGTGCAGAGAATCAATCTACTAACTAGAGTGAAAGAGTAAAATTTGCAAAAACTATCTCACTCCCTGAAACTGGTCAGAATATGCGTGGCAAAATGGTCAAATCTATAATTTCCAATATGAACCAGTCCACTGTTGCTTCCCGCATGTGAAATCTCCTCTTCATCATCTTCTTCTCCTTCTTCTCTAACTTTCTCCCACTTTTTTTCAAAAGAAAAAAGGAAGAATAAAAAAGAAAATTTTCCTTGTGTCCATGGTGTTATAAAATGAACCGGGCCTCACTCACTCCCCAAAAGCTAGCTCAAGAGGAGGAGGATTGCCCAAGTCTTCTATTTTGAATAAATGCCCCATTCATTGCATTGAATCAGAACAAAAAGAGCAGCTGTGCTGTCTTGTTAGGACTTCTTAATTGTAATTGGGTTTGAATAGTTGGACTTCTAAATGTCAAATGTTGAATTCTGATTGTGTTTGTAATTGGATCCGAGTTATGAGCCCAAAGTAGAAATATTAAGCTGAAGTAGTGAATATTCAGATCATTTTGACAATCAATAACATCTTCTCATATTTTCTCTCTCGTCTCTCTAGATTCTTCTTTTTGTAACCATCTTTCTCTCTTCACCCCTTCGCTCTCTGCTTCCTATCTGTTTCTCACTAATCAAACATCTTAGGGTTGCATCTCTTCAAATTCCTAACACGTCTTTTATGCACCCATGGAAAGTTTTACAAATATCTAGTGCTTCAAATCATTGTCCAAACATCCCATTCGAAGACCACCACATGGCAATATCAAATTTCAGGTATCTTGAACCCATTTAATGAAGTTATACACATATACATTGGCCATTTCTGACTACAGCATAAATCTAGTCAAGTGTGTATACATATCTGGCTGTAGAGGGGATACATTTATAAAGAAATAAAAGAATATCTGCTAAATGGCTCCAACAAAAATATAAGCTCACTTGCTTAATTTTCCTAATCCTAGAATGCCTAAAAGAAGAAAAGAGATTATGAATAGGTCCACTCCAAGATGGGCTTGGTTCACAATCAGACCTCAGGCTATGCCTATAGAGCAATTATATAAAACGCATCAGTTAAGTAACCTAACTTAGAAATAGAAGCATTGAATTGGTGTATACAACTCAAAAAAATGTCCAACCTTAAAAACCTAAAACCATAAAGTTACAGTAAATTTCTCCCTTTAAAGCTCTGTCCACCTTAGAAGAAGGGTAAATACAAAACAAAGCAACAGTCTGAGACTTTTGTCATCCCATGACTGAAATTAAAACCAAAAGCACTAAAACTCGCACGAAAATAAGTGGTTAATTAAAACCATCCATCACCTAAAAGTGTTGATAGAGTTGGTGTTGATAGAGTTGCTTCAGGAATTAATAAGTGCAACATAAATGCCAAATTTCTCCACATTTTTAATGATAACCAAAGCTCCAAAGAAAATGCATATGGCAATATTCATGTGCTCCATTCCTTTTCCTGCTCTAATGCAAGAATATGGTAATTACAAACAGCTTTACAGTGTAACAAAATTGCTGTTAAAAATTGTTTTCAGTGCCTAAAATAGAATAAAGCCATGTTTTATCCTATAACACCACGTTTGATTGAGTATATGAATTGGACATTAGCAATTTGCAAGTTGACCCATGCTAAGAAATATAATTATATGGCTATCAATTAGGGGCATCCCTAACAAATCCATCATCTTCTCTTTGTCTCTACACTCTGTGTAAATGACACAACTAAGAAATGCCAAAACCAAGATACTGGGCACCTAAGAGAATGAAAGAAAAACATTGATCACTTTTCCAAGTTGAATATGAGCAAGTATTATTTAGCTTAAAACTTTTTCAACCAACCAGATAAAATGAATTGAATGCTTGCCCCTAGAATCAGATATCATGTTAGTTTAGCCTACAAGCAGAAAATTTTGCAACAAAGTTTATGAAATTTTCTTTTACCTCTACAACTTCTGTTCCGCCATTTTGAATACGATCTGTCAAGTAGTCAATTTCTTTTTGGGTGAATGAGCTTGGAGGTTTAACCTGCAAAATAAAGAAAGGTAGTTAATTTTAGAAAAAAGTTGCAACAAAGTTTTTTAAATTTTCTTTTACCCTACAACTTCTGTTTCCGCCATTTTGAATACGATCTCGTCACAGTAGTCAAATTTCTTTTTGGGTTGAATGAGCTTGGAGGTTTAAACCTGCCAAAATAAAGAAAGGTAGTTAATTTAAAAAAAAGTTGCAATCAAAGTTTTTTTTGTATTTTTTTTTCTTTGAACTATATATATATATATATATATATATATAATATAATAATATATATATATTAAATTTTGTCCTTAAAAACCTGTGACTTTAGAGAGGGTTATATATATAAATTTGTCCTAAACCTGTGATAGAAGAGGTAAAATAGTAACCCCTGCATGACCCCCAACAACTGGCACATCGACTTCTCTAGGATCAAGGCCCAAAACTTCTGCCTGTGGTTTAAACAAAACACAGAAGAAAAAAAACCTACATTAAATCCGGAAATAGAAGTGGATGACGGCATATATCCCACTCAAGAATAAGAAGCAAATATAATTAGACAGAATAAGGAAGACCAGCAAACAAGCTATTCCAAATCATATCTAGGTTGACAATAGTCTGCAAGCAGCTTACGAAATTCAACTGTCTGATACTTGCATCAGCATCATTAATCTCACATTAAATTTTCACAAACTTTGCCCTAATGATTCACATACCCTGAAATGTCTTCCTTCCAGAAGAGAAATTCTTCGCACCCCATTTATTGCAAAGCAAGTTATTACAAAATTCTGAAGATTGCTTCAGTTGATGACAAAAATAGACAAAAACCTTCGCTTGCTTTAACAATATACAGAAAATGCATGAAACAAATTCCACCATATTCTTTCTTTCAATTCCCAATAGGACGATCTTATCCTTCTCTTCCTAACAGTTGCTATTGAAGCATGATCAACCCAAAATAAATGACAAGTGAAGAGGAAAATGTGTTGGAACTCCGTATTTTAACAGTAGATATGGTCAGCCATTAGTGCCTTGTTATCAGTAACGAAAACAAATATATAAACTTTCCATGCATAGAAGATGAACCAATGGCAACAGTGATAGTTCTTACCACAAAAGTATTCGCTCTGACAACATCAAGCATTGTGACACCTAAAAGTCGCTTTGGATCAAAGGTGCCAGCTTTCTTAAAAACTTCTGCTGCAATTGGAACCGTGGAGTTAACAGGATTACTGATAATGTTGACAATAGCTTGTGGACAGCACTTAGCAATTCCTTCACAAAGGGTCTTAACTATTCCAGCATTGATGTTAAATAGATCATCTCTTGTCATTCCTGGTTTCCTTGGAACGCCAGCAGGAATGATCACAAGATCCATCCCTATAAGAGCATCCTCCAGTTGCTGCTGGCCCAAGAAACCACGTACCTGAAATTTGGGGGATGTCATCAGTTCCACTGGACATTTAGAGAATTCATTGATCAATTTCAAAGATTCACTATACTTTGATTTGATTGAGGTTTGTAAGCTAATTCCAGTTTGTATTAAAATTCATTTTCTCCCCTCACTGACATAGGTACTCAACCAAACCACAAAACTTCAGAAGTCAGCAGTCTGCATTAATTAAAAATGACTGAGATAATATAACTCAACCAAAACACAAAACTTCAGAAGTTCAGCAGTGCATCTAATTTAAAAAAAATGGACTGATAAGATAATATATATTATATATATATATATATTATATATATATTATATACTATTAATTATATATAAAAGAATAAAGAGACACAGAGAGAGTTCCATCGCATATCAGCATGCAGTAATTCTGCCTCACAGAACATGAGAATAACATCATAAATCTACCAAGATATGAAATCAAGTGCAGTAACAGATGAGATTAAGTATTAAATGAGGAATTTGTCCCAAAAGACTCATGCTATGCGGTTACGCAATCAAGGGATACTTGGTAAATCCATTTACAAATCACACTATGCAGTGATTTATGTTACTGAATCTTATCCTTGATGACATCTAACAGTTCATCCATTCCTAATATTAGTCATTTGCAAGTAACACAATCTAATGTCAAAATGGACCATACCCTCATCAGTACAAGGTCCTCGACTCCCTGGCATATACTCCTGTGTTTTTGTCTGGGGCCAAAATTGAGAAGCATCACAATGCTCAAGTTTGGTTCATTCTAATTCGAGCTTGCCATCAAAGCTCGAAAACCTGCTTGAGTTTCGTGTATTAACTAGCTTATCAATTGAGTGAAGATAATTGATTTTGACATATTTTTATCTAACCATTAAGTTGTTGGCTTAATAGTGCATATTAATAGCCATTTTATGAATTAAAAATATTTAACGTCCAATTTATGTTTGTTTTACAATCGAATGTCATGAAATTTTAAATGAGAACAGTATTTTGCGCCAACAATGAATCATGCCAAAATATCTTTTAATTTTCCAAGCTTATATATTGTCAAGATTGTTCATTAAATAATGGAGCTTAAATTTAAGTTTGAACTTTGATTTGCTTAGTCAACAAATGAGCCCAAATGAGCATTTTAACAGGTTAAACTCAAGCAAAAATGAAGTAACTTCGATTGTTTCACGGCCCTACCTTTATCTTTTTTGCTCTAATTTAAATCAAAACTCCAATCCAATCAATATACTCAAAGGTTACAAATTCAAAAACCTCCGCAAAAGTTCAATTACAAAATTTATAACCATAACCAATCCAATTCAAGAATTTCAAAACAAAAAGCTCCAACAAAATCAAATTTTTTATTTTGTTTTTTCTTTTGCAAGATTCACACTTACCACAGCACCAGTGTCCATATGGCTAATATCAGCAGTAACACCAGGAGTATTAACCACATCATACAAATGAAGAACCGAAACCAGTGGATTCATCTTCATCAACAATGCTAGAGGCTGCCCTATTCCTCCTGCAGCTCCTAATATAGCTACCTTGAACCCAGCAGACCCTCCTTTCGACCGGCAATTCGCTCGGTTCAGACTGCAACCCTCCTCCATCTTTCTCGTTACAAGGAAAGAACAACACAAATCAAATAAAAAAAATAACAATCAAGAAAAGCAAACAGTCAAATCAAAACAAGCTTAATTAAAAACCTTAATATGGGGAGGATTGAGATGGGATGCGATTCTTGCAATCCGTTGATTGGCTTCTGTAATTGCGGGCTGCATCATTTAACAGTACTCTTCCTCTTCTTCAAGTTGGAGATTTTGGGTTTTGTTCTGATGAAAAAGAAAGAAAGGAGCTCTCTCAACAGGTTGAGCAAAATAAATGACGGACTGTTTGTTCGGAAAAGAGATGGATAGAAAGGAAAATGACAGACTGTTTATTCGGAAAGAAAATATTGGAAAATGTGAAAACTGCAAAACTGATCCTATCATGCAAGAAACAAGGAGTTTTGCGACTTTCGGTGTATCTTCAATTCTGTTGTTTCAATTCTGCGTCATCACGAATAACATCGAGACGTAAATAAATAAGCGGTTTTAATTATTAGCTTCGTATATTTTCATAATTTTTTTATATGGATTATTAGCTCGATCTATATGTCCATCCATACGTTAAATGTATATAAATTTTATGTACGTGTCCTAGTTGATTGTACTTTTAAAATTTGAAAGATAAAGACTTGCATGAATTTATTTATATACTAAATAAATAATTAATAACCATTTACAAAAATTATATTAACTGCGTCTTAAAAAGATAATTTTTTTTTCATGACAATTAATTTTTAAACTACTATATTTTATTAAAATTTATCTTATTTTTAATAACCTTAGTTAATTCATATTTATTATTTCAATATAATAATTACTCATGTGTTATTTAAGATAAATATAATAGGGAAATTATATGAATAAAATTATTTTTTAACTATAATAAATGTAACTTTTTTAATTTGTATGAAAATAGAGAGTGAACTATTTTTTTAGGATAGATGAAATATTATTTTATTTCTTCGATTTTGACATAAACATTCTCATTTTTATCTAATTTTAATTATAAAGATTAATTTTCTAAAATTTAATGGCATGTTTACCTCAAAATCTCAAAGAAAAACTCTAATGTTATAATTAATTATATTTTTAAAATTTAAAAGACCGAATGAAACTTACCTATTTTATATGGATATACTCATACACTGAATAAATAATTGATTTCTATTTTATTATTACTTTTTCAATGAATAGCTTGTGATTGAATTTTAATTATAAAGGTCCAATTAAAAAAAAAAAATCAATTACAAAGTTTAATTTGTTGGAGTAGTGCTTTAGATGAACTTAAAACCTAACAAGCAGTCGGTTTTATAACCCAACGGCCCATTGTTTGTGGCCCAACAAACACGGAACAGTCCTTGTACCGATCCTATAAAACAATCGACTGGGGGTGAGAACCACCTCTGGCCCTCTCTATCCACCTCTAAGTATAATTTTCCTATTCCAAGCACTCAGAAGTATTTACCAAACAACATTTTAGGTCATATGTAATTACGTATATATTTTTGCTTTTTCTATTTAAGTGAAATTGTTTTTATCTAATATCGGCAAACATATTTTTTTACATTCTCCTATGAGTTGAATCAATAGCTTTTGCATGATATTAGTGGAGTTTCATATCTCAAAAATTGTTTTTAGATTGTTATAACATAATTGTAATTGTAATTGATGTTTATAACATAATCAAAATTAGCTTATAGTGTATATTAATCATAAAGTTAATATGAGGTAATTACCAATTGGGCCATTTGTTTTTGGATCAAATTGAATTTGTTATAATTTTAAGTCCAAAATTCATAAAATTACTAAAAATAATGTTAGTTTCACCAATTAAGTAAAGAGTGTTGCCATCCACTTATAAATTAATCATCTATTTATTTAATTACTTCCTCAATTGAAAACGTTGAATGGTTAAAAAAAAACCTAAACTTTCTTTTTAATTTGATATTTTCTTTATAACTAAACATAGTAATGATTTGTCTACATCATGCACACACTAATTAGATAAACCTAATTACTTATATAAACGGAGGATTAAGACTAATTAAATCTGCTTTTCTTAAAGTGAAATTATTAAAAGGGATTTGCCGAAAAGTGTTTCTAGAAAAGGAATGTCACTTTTGATTTATATTATATATACATGATGATATATATGTTATGATGAAGAGAGGGACATTGGGTGGTGTTTATTAGAATAAAGAGAATGATTGACGTTTAAGGCACAATATCCTTTTTCCTACATTGTCAAACAAGGTGGCTGTTTTTCTTGTTAAATTATAATTATATTAATTGAATTTTGCATCAAACAAGTGAATTATTAAAAGAGTAATAATTATTTTACCTCCTAAATTTAATTTGTGATGGGTAATTCCGCAAGCACGTGAATTCGTAATAAATAATAAAAAATGAGTAAGAATATTGTTTATACGAAAATTATTTATCAAATGCCAAATTTATTTTAATATTATCATTTAAACGACAATTAAGAGATTTGTTTCCTTTAAAAAAAAAAAAAGAGCTTTTTTTAAGAATTAATAAAATAAAATAAATATTAAATTAAAATCAATCAATCAAAAAAAATTATAAAAGTAATTCAATGAATAAAAGCTATTAAAAAATTTGATTTCACTTAATTCTATCTAATTAATTTCATTAATTCAATAATCAATTTAATTGTTCAAGGCAAGAAAAATAATCCTAAAATCACTAATAATTTTACTTATTTTAACCCAAATTAATTATCTATCTTTTTTTGAACTATAATTAAATACGAGTTAAATCATTAAGATCTATATATAGTTATTTAAGAAGATCTACCAAAACAGATTATATCCTCTAGAAATGATGAAATATAACAGTTCAATTCAATCAAACTAGAAATAGAGACAACAACTCGAGTAATAATGTACATAATACTAATACACTGACTTTCAAACAAAGCCTGTATTACTAGTAGAAAGATCCCTTAAAGAGGCTTTATAATCATCAATTAAAATGCTAAAATAAGAACAATTTAGTTCAAGACTAACAAAGGGAAAAAGCACTTGGACTGCACAATAGGGGTAGGCCTCTCCTTAACTCACTAAATTGGTGAAAACAACTGTGATCGAGAGAACTCGAACTATAGACCTCCCACTCTTCACATAAGTGAGAAAACTAATCAGAATACTGTCTGATTAGCGATGAGTATTTTTTTTCCTCTATTATAGATTAAAGCTTGCATTTTTATTTGATCTTTCATGTAAGTTTAGGGATAATTCTTTTTTAACATGTCATTTTCTTTAGCCAAAGATTTTGATATGTGAGAAAATAATGTTGCAATTTAAGACAAATGCAGTCACGCGGCTTCCGTTTAGTTGTTTTTATTTCACGTGTGTTTTTTCCCAGTTCAACAAATCTTATCTTTGGCCTGCAATTCCATTTTCCCTAATCGATTGATTAATAAACGCATGGCAAGAAATAGCTAGTATTAAGAATTTTCCCAATTTCTTTTATTTTCTTTTTCCAAAGAAAATAATATAATATTCTTTACAGTTCATAAAATAAATTAATTTCTTTTTTGTGTGCACAAGGACTAGGTAAAGACTATTCTCTTCAAGTAGGAACTTTTATAAATTAATTTTCTCCCAATTGAAAATAAATTATTTTCTTTAAACAAGGCTGCAATACATGTTTCATATCTTCTCTATAATTTTGCCCTTCAAGTTCAACATTTAGGTATAGATTATATAAATATTTAATCATATAATTATAATGTAAACACCTATGATTTGGTGGCACAACATTGTGTATAATTGTTATTATTATTATTAACAATAGAGTGAACAAGCAATTGGTATGATAGTGAATGTTAGATTGTTACGTTGCTCGTATCATAATTATTTATGAACTAATTGTTTACAACCAACACAAAAAATTTGAAACATTAAATTCAATATAGAAACATTGCCGCATCATCAGAATTTAAAAGACAAAGATCCTAATCTATTTAAGAAATTCTCCACAAATTACACATCTGTCCAAATAAAAATAAACCAAATGCAAAAAAAAAAAAAAAAAAAAAAAAAAAAATTAAAAGTACGAATAACCACCCACTATAATATTCCTTTACCCAGTTCCCAATAAAAATAAGACTTAATTGCTTTTTTGTGTGCACACAGGACCCTAGTGGGACAGACCTGATTCTCCTTAAGTCTCATGGCGACCATTTTTATAAAATTAATTTCTTATCAATTTTGAATTAAATGATAAAATTAATATTTCTATTGCGCTCTTTATCTTTAAGTGAAAATACAAAGGCGTCCGAATACATAAACTTGTTGCTGTATTCATCTGCCTACCACTATCCCTAAAAATCACTTGAATGTGTTGGATTTCCTCATGAGGCCACTTTCAACAATTTTGTACGAACAGTCGCGTCACGGTCTAAATCTTTAAAACTTATTTAGTATAATAAGATCCGTAAGAATACTATAAAAGCTCTGTTTAAACTAGTTAAAAATTATGACAAATGGCAGGGTAAAACCCATCTTGTCGAAGAGTATCTGGCGAAATATTTGGTGGCGTAAGTCTTCAAATTGTGTATTTAAGTGTTTTATAGCATATTATTTTTCATTACACACATAAATTAGACATTCCACTATGTTTGTAGTGTGTAGAAACCAATTAAGCCTAATCATATTTAGAGGTTTTTCAGGAGCCAAAATTCAATAAGGGGGAAATTCGTTAACCGTTGAAATTAGTATAGATGTCGTTACGTTGGCTCCGTATCAATACACCTATACAATAAGTACGAACCTATACTTAACAGATTATTATCCCCCGAAAGAGCACCAAAATAACAAATTGAAACATTAAATCATTACCGCTCCCAAAAGGAGGTAACTTCAGAACTTCAAAAGTTGTGTTCCAACGGCGCAAGCTAAGGGTCTATTTAGAATTTTTAAAAGAAACCAATCATAGATCGGCCATAATCTCCTTATTTAAAGAAAATTTCTCCTAACCCAAATTACACATCCTGTCCCCCACAAATAAAAATAAAACCCCAAATGAAAAAAAAAAAAAAAAAAAAAAAAAAGAAAATCGAAAAAATTTGCATCCTAAATGGATCGAGGAATCATACCAACTCTACGGTAAGATGCGAGAAAATAAACGAAAAACCAGTTTGAACGTGTAACACGACAAAAATCTATAGATAGTTCATGGGAAGATTTGTACAAAAACCATATATAGAATCCTATTAATTTAAATATTGATAAAGATAAAACCCATTAAAAAAATTCCAAAGAAAAGAGAGGGAGGAGCAGCCGGGCCGCCACGCAAACTCCCTACCTGCGTGACGCGACTATGATGGTGAAAACCCGAAAAGAATCCGACCACTGATTCCTTGTTTTACTATATAGAGAAGAAAACAAAAAAAACATAAAACAAAGCAATATAATAACATAATGGAAGAGTCCAATGTAAAATGTGGCGATTGAACAGTTATAGAAAAAAAAAAAAAAAAAAAAAAAAGAAAAGAAAAAATTTGCATCTAATGGAGAGATCATCAACTCTACGTAAGATGGAGAAAAATTATGACAAATATAAATAATATAGATTTGTACAAAACATATATAGATCTATAATTTATTTGATAATAAACATAAAAAAATCAAGAAAAGGAGGGAGGAGCTGTTATAGGAAACAAGAATCGACACCTTGATTCTTGTGTTTTATAGAAGAAAAGAAAAAAAAAATTAATGGAGATGAAGGAGAGAAGAGAAAGCACGAAGGTTTTTTTTTTACCTTATAGACCATCTAATTAACTTTTACACATTATATTAAATTAATTTTTTTGAATCTATTTTAAATGAGCTTATAAGTACAGATTTATAATATATCCCTATATAATTGAACTTTGATAAAATAGAAGGGTGAATTTATATAAAATTGGATAAAATAAGTTTACTCTGAACATTACAAGTTAATAAAATAAATTCATTTGCTGATAAAAAAAAAAATTGTGTGATTGGAAAGGCAAACGTACGCAATATATATAGTGTGAGATAAAAGACCCAAAATTGCATTCAGTATTAATGTCTTTGTAAGTGTCAATTACAATAATTAATATGTGGAATGTGACCATCAAAGAGAGCGCCTCTCTCTCTCTCTCTCTCTCTCTCTGTGTCTTACCAGAAAACGAACCAAAGAGTAAGTTGAAAAGGGCTTTTCACCGGCCATCCAAATACCAACAAAATAACTCTCTCTCTCGCATTGCACAGAAAGAAATGCCCTTATGACTCTTCCTATCCCCTTCGTTTATATGGGACCCTTCTCCTCTCTATTCTGTCTCTCACTCTCTCTCTTTCTTTCAACTCCATCTGATTGAGAAAGGAAAGGAAATGAAATGGAGGGAAAGAAAGAATTTGCTGGTGGGGCTACGCTTAGAGCACAAATCAGAAATTGGCTTAAGAGGACAAGCACTTCTCATCTTTCTCAACCACCCATTTGGGCCATTTTCTTCTTATACAAGATGAAATGAACATTTTGCCCTTCCTTCAAAGGGTTTCATTTCATCCCTTTCTGTAATCAATGGTCTTTTTAGTCATTTTGCATTAGAAGGTTATTCCATTGTGAAGAAGAGCCAGCACTACTACTACTACAATGTAAACTCTCCTTCTTCTCTTTCTTTCTCACTCTCTCTATAACAACAACAAGAACATTCCTTCTTAGGATAAGAAAAAGGCAGACAGGATGGAGCCAGGCAATCGTAGCTATACTTCTGTTCTTAATTTTTTTAGTTTTTCAATATTTCTTTTTAACTATCTCTTTTTGTTTATTTTCATATTTTCTTCTTGAGCTAATACAAAGAATCATTCAAGAAGAACAAAAGAAAAAAAAAAAAAAAAGACTGTTTATCATCTTCCATTTGCTTAGTATCATGGGCAAAGATTCTTAATTAGTATTATTCTCTTTGTACATGAAATTTTTAGTTTTTGGTTTTTATTATTATCTTAATGTTATTTATTATCTTCCCATTTTTGAGTAGCTTGAATTTCATTACCTTTCTATATTTTCAGGTCATAGATCTCTGCTCTATCTTTTTGGAGCTATGTTTTTCTTATCCATATAGTATCTTTTATGATTTCTTGTTATGTTGGTTTACAGTACTACTGGTCTTGAAGGAGCAATCTGTAAGGAGAAGATGATTAATGTCTAACTGGATATATTTGTTTAATTAGGTCAGTTTGATTTGTGATTCTGGTGTTGCACTTTTTTCTTTTCTCTAATTACCTTGTATTATTAATTAACTGGATCTTTAATATAAATAACATATTGGAATTAATTTTAATTTCTCCACAAAAACATAACGATAAACTATGGTTTTTTTTTTCTTATTTCATGTCTGTATTTTTTATTTGTTTCTTTCTACCTCTCTGCAATCTATTTTTCTGCCGGCAAATTCTTTGGTGTATTAATATTTATTCATATATTTAATTATGTTGACATAAACACAAATGCAAGCTCTTGGAACTTAGATTGTCTTTGTTCTTGTCCTAATATTTATTGCCAATGGAAATTAGGTCAAAGCATTAGAAATACAGTAATGTTGAATGGAAATATAAGGGAATTGAGCTTCAATAATGGTGGGAGAGATAAAGGAGGAAAGGAGAGCTTTTGTTGTGTGTTTTTGTTTCTTTTACTTCCTTCTTTTTTTTTTTTTTTTCTTTTTAAATCATTGTCTTCAAAGAATCATTAATTGCAGATACGACATATACATGTAAAGGGTACAACAGAAATAAACCCCCGTGAAGAAAATCTAAACAATCATGATGATGGCTCCATTTCTTTCTTTCTTTCTTTTTTTTAATTATTATTATTCTTTGAGATATAATGGCTTGATCAAGTTGAATGTTGTATATTTCTTATAAGTAATAATAATAATAATCATTATATGTAGAAATATAGACATTCAACATGCTAATTTGCCATGGCTTAATCATGGTGTGTATACAGTCATATTAATTGCCATGGCAGTGTTCATACCGGAATATGGAAACTAAATGGAGGTAAGAACAACACATTCTAGATCATGTTTGAATAATTAATTGATTGTTTATCGTTGGAAAATGAGATTATTCGTTTTTGAATTCTTTAATTGTTCAAACATTACTGCGATTAGATCATTATTTTAAGGACGACCATATTATTGTGTTGATGATGCTGATTAGAACCAGAATAAAAGCAGTGTATTACTATTATTGTATTACTATCAGACAGTGTGCTAATTATGTTATTATTGTATTACTATTAAACAGTGTGCTAATTATGTGATTTAGAATATTTTAGTCTGTTGTGTGTGTATTTGATCAAACAAAAACAAAGTCAGGTAATGCGGCAATTTGTTTGTGTAGTACTATATCTAATTATCTATCGCTTTGGAACTTGGAAATGTCCTCTAGTTAAAGTATTGGAACCATCTTTACGAAGATGAGTTATTAATTTCAAAAATGTTATTAATAATATATCCACACGCTTTCATTTTGGTAAAACCAATTACATTAATTATTGTCAATTAGGGTCCAACAATTGAAATTATTGGCCTGTAGATTAACTGAGTAAATCTCAATTCTAATTAACTAGTTTGGCTAATTAAAGATATGTTTGAATTTAAGTTCAAATCCGATTCGAATTTAAAAAATAAAATTTGAACTCAGCTTGTTTATAAACTAATTTTTGCGTCGACCAAATATTTTGATTTATGAATTAAGTCAATAATTAACATTTGGTTTGTGATATAAGAAAAGCAAATAAACTGAATAAACCTTTATATATCGATCCAATAGTAGCAAAATCAGAATTACTAAAAATAATCTTTTTACAGGAATCCTTGTGTTTGATAATTCTCCAAAAGTAAAAGCTACGTTTATAACAATCCACCTATACTGAATTAGCAAGCTGAAGTGATTGCACATTAATCAGATTTCAACTACCTCTTCAATCACTTTTCAATTTGCCAAGAAATACACTAAACAGTTATTATACTAATTTCAGTTGAGCTGATCTTACTCAATTGCTATATATAGAGTCTTGTCGGCAAGCTAATTTACGTAGATAAATCTCACTTCACCATTTTTGTACGTATACAATACAAGTAGGTCAAATTACAAAGTTAGTCATAAAAATTAGACTAACTTCCTTCTTTCGGGTCTTCCCTCCCTTGTATTTGGTCAGCCATGGTGCACATATCTTGGGTAACGCAGAAAGGGTTTATGAAGAAAGATAAAATTATTTTTATCGTATATTTATTAATAAACGTTTTAAAAAATGAAGTGAAATATTATAAATTATCCACTAATTCATAGGCTTGGAAATTAGCATGGTTTTTATATCATAGAAGACTATTTACATATTTGACATGTGTCCTAACATCATGTATGTCCAAACTAGACCCTGTGCGTTCCAGGAATAAGAATTTCCCTTGTTGTGGATAATGGAACCAATGCAATTGAAGCAATCAAACAAATATAAAATACAAATTGAGGAAAAAATCCTGTCATAGTCCTTGGCCGAAAGTAAAGTTAGTCCACAGATTTGGCTAACATCAAAAGGTTAAAACATTTTAAAAATAAAACATATACCAATAAGAACATTACATGTAGTAATTTTTGTTGACTGCTAACTAACCAGTCCAAGGCTTTGTAATCTTTAGGAATCTATGAATTATTGGAATGATTTAATTAATAATGTCATTTGAAAAGACTAGGGATGGCAACAATTGGAATATATTTTCCTTTTTTTTTTCTAATAAAATAAGGTCTAAAATAACTTTTTGAAATTTTTTTCAATGCTTTGTTTGATTGGCGAATGTAAATTAGAGAAATCCAACTTAAAAGTAAAAACCATGCTAATATAAAAGTAAAAAATAAAATAAAAACAACATAAGCTCTAACATTACTTCAATTAAAACCATGCTAAAATATATTCGTGAATGTGTATATATATATAAAAAATTTTAACAAAATATATTAGTCCATATATCTCAAGTGATAGAATCTGAAGATGAGTCCTCGGGTGCCGAATATAAACATGTACTAAAATATAAATGTATATCTCTACCAAAAAAAAAAAATACAAATGTATTTTTTACATTTTTTTTGACATATATTTGTAAATTGATTGAAATATACTCCAACAGTTATAAGGTGAAAATGACATAATTTAATGTGAAAGGTTTATATTTTGACTTACTGAGAAGAAAGTGAAGTAGGGCTGTGTTAGCTCAACTGCCACAGCTTAGCTTTTCTTTTTCTTCTTTCTGTGGGAGTTTACTATCTCAGTTCCACTTTAATAACAATAACTCTATATTTTATCTTGTTATTTATCTAGAATTTTAAAAGTATATTAATTATTTTTTTCAATTTTACTACATATTTATTAGGTATTTTTAATAAAACTAAATGATGTATTTTTAATTTTAAGAAGCGCAATTTAGATATTTCATAATATATTTAAAAAAAAATCAATGTATTACAATTATTTTCTTAATTTTTTATGAAAATTTCATATATTGCTATGAAAAAGGAAGAGAGAGAGAATAGAATATATTTGTCATTCTGATAATGGAGTTTTGACAAATTGGGCTCCTGCTGTAGATTTGCTCGACACACGCACATTCCATTACTCACTATGTGTGCTTTTTTGAATGCCCGAAATCTTTCTTTATCATCGCTGTACTCCTAATAGTCATAGTCCTCGTCGGTGCTGTAAGACCTCTACTTGGATTTTGTCATCTTTGCTAAACTTTGGCTTCAAGATGTCAAAATTTGATTGGTCAAAGGAATTTCTCTGCTCTCTACACTATAACAATAACTGATAACTTCACAGTCGAAATGTAGAGAGAACCGAACTACCGTATTTAGCAGATTTTCGTTGGGTTCCGATGGGGTTAAATATGGCATTGAATGCAGAGTCAATAAGCAAATTAAGTAGAACAAATTGACAGGTTTTAGTAAACAGCGCCTAATTAAACAACTGAAGCAGCTTCTTCTTCACGGCGACGCAGAAGCCGCTTGCTTGCTGCTACTTCCTAAGCAGCAACCGCTATTTATCTTAATTAAGCTCGGTTGCCAATGTGCTTGGTCCCTTCAAAGGGTTGCTAAATCGACATCATCTTTATTGCGTTTCCCCCAACTTGATCAATCAATTGTTTTGGAAAAGTAGCAGTCTTTAATTACCCTTTATGAATTTTCTTCTCTTATCCCTTGGTTATAGGCCAATAGTTCTCTCTATATTTTCACTAACATATAATTACAAACAACCATTTTTAATATATGAAACAAACTTTTAAATTAAGTTATGCTCACTTACCTTTGTAAAATAGAATAGATTTGAAAAGAAAATAAAGTTTTTTAATTATATTAATTCATTAAATCATATAAAATTACGAAATGAAGAAAGAAAATAGGACTCACAAATAAATACATGAAAATGCATTTATTTGTATATAAAAATTTTTTTCTTTTTTCACAATTATCATGTTCCTTAAAAAATGTATTCTCACCCAGATTACAATATAAAATATAGATAATTTATTAAAGTTTAGATTATTCTTTCTTTCTTTCTTTTTTGTCTACTAAAAATTTAAACTTTAAAATTTTTTAAAATTCTTAACTTTATATCCTACAAAACTCACAATTAATTAATTAAATCATACTAATAAAGTTTCAAGTTGGAATCTATCCAAGCTTACACTTAATTATTAGCTAGATAGATAGATTGGTTCGATGGATTGATCTTTGTTCCCTTCCCATCTCTTTTTACTTACAAGATCCAATCTTGATGGATGGATCATATTTCGAACCTTCCACAACTTGATTTATGATTAGAACCCCAAGTTCAAGGTATATATTCTATGGAATAGATTTCAAAAATTAACCTAATTATGCTATTCTTTTTCCTTGACTAGTCCACAGAAGAAAGTGTCAAGTACCATCACCTTATCCTTAGCTTGACACTTTAGTCTCGAATATCTCTCTCACCCAATTTTAGCCTCTAATTTAAGCTAACGAGTGAGTCCTTTCAAGAAATATTATTTAATATGGCCTTCACATTGACACGATTAAAAAATTGAATAGATGAATTATTAGTTTAACCAATAAATCAGTGCAGCAATTAGTGGATTATAAAAATATTATTATAATGATTATAGTTTAAAATAATTATAATATAATAAAAAAATTATTAAAATATTAAAATCGATCTGAATCAATCAGGTTTATATAGATCGATCAGTTCGACCAATGGTCAGTCGGTTCAATCTGATTCTCTTCTTTAAATAGTTCAAAAGTAAAACTGATCTGATTTTAAGATCGGTTATTAATTTTTCGAATTGACCCGCTGGATTGAGCCGAATTTAATAACTATATTTTTAAGTTTGAAACAAATAAATATCAAGGCATCGCCACCATCCCACTACCTTCGGATCCCTTCAATGCAGCACAATATTTCCTTGTAAAATCTGTCCTTGATTCCATCCTACACCCATAAAGGAACTTGTCTCTTTCTTAACTCATTCCTTTAAGCAAAAAGAAAAATCTCTCCCTAACAAATGTGTAAAATGTTGGAAGATCTGCCTAACTTAACTGGCTTGACTTCAAAATGTGAATTTGATTACATAAAGAATTTTATCTTAAAACTTAATTTGATTCACTTACATTACGCTTTAATAAGGCTACAAAATATTCTATGAACTGCAAAGTTTGGTTTGAAAAAAAAAAAAATTATTTGAGCAAACTCACTTAAGAAACTGACTAAGCTCAAACTCGAGTTTAAAATTGTGAAGGAATAACTTTTTTAATATATATATTATCCAAGCTTAAATTTAGACTTTTAAATTTGCGTTTGGATATTTTTTTATTGAGTCCCAAGTTCAATAAAATTTGATTCGGTTTATTTATTGCTTTTGTCTTAAGTAAGTAAAATGTAAAATTACAAATATATAATAGGAGTTAATTACATTTATGGTATGTAAAATTTTTATAATTAAGATTTTGGCTGATTATATAATAGAAGTTGATTTGGAAACAATTTATAATTAAGTGTTAAACTATTAAAAAAATTATAATTAAATGTATTTGGCTTTCTTCAAAAATTAAAATGAACAATTTTACTTAATAAATGATACGAAATATAAATATTTATTTAAAAAATATTTTTTTTTATTTTTTATTGTCTTATATCTTTTCTTTCTTAAAAAATCTAAAAAATTTATTCTAATTTTCTTTCAATTTAAGAACAATATAAAAAATAAAAAATAAAAAAGAAAGATATAATCTTAAAAAAATAAAAATTAAAAGCAATTAATTAGAATATTTCATTTTGATTTCCCACAATGAAATTCTAGCCAAATGTATTTAATTGTACCAAAATTATAAATTCAAAATAATTAAAACTAAAAAGTTTAAATTACACAAAATACTAATTAGTAAAAATATATTTATTGCAATGTTTTATTATTTGAAGCGAAACGTCAGAATTAAGTGGTTCAGCTTCAATGCTTCGTCAAATTTATTCATAAATAAATAATTTTGACAACTTATGGGTTCAACTCAATTTCTCACTATCTCCATTCCATTAATTTTGACATCCTTTGACTTAAAAATGGAGAAAATGATTATTTTATTTCAAATTCTACAAAAAAAGTAAAGTATTTAATTAAATTATCCTCTTATCAATTTTTGTATTAAGAGAGATAAAGTTAAGCAGAGATCATCCTTTAAAAAAAAAAATAGAGTCGGAATATAATAATAAATACTATTATTTTAATTTTCTATAAATGTTGTATAAATAGCGCAAGAAAAATTAAAAAGGATCAAAATAAATGAAATGAATTTTTTTTTTTTTTTGGAAAACTAAATGAGTTTTGATTTAGTGGTATATTATTTCCATAATTTTTCACTAACAGAAGCTTTGATTAAACAAGCAAAAACAAAATCTATCTCCTCAACGGAATAACAAAAAAAAAATCTCCATTGATGGATCTACAGATTCTACACTACACCAAATCCATGGGTATATAAGTACTTTCCAATTTCACGCCAAATACACTCAATCCCCTTCGTCACTTTCTTCAAAAAAGCCAAAAAGAATCACGTTTCGCTCGCACCACCACCATTCATAATTATAACCTGCTAATTAACACTTTCTCTTTCGCACATTGCCTAATCACTGTGTTTTCTTCTCTTTCTCTGCACTGTTATGCAAATGCAGTGCCTAAAAAGATGAACAACAAGCAGCTCTTTCCATGTGAAGTTAATCCTTTAGATTCTCTTCCCATTTAACCATCTTCTTACATATATTCGACTCGAAAGCCCTCTGTCAACATAACCGACCCTCTCCAGACTAAAATGGTTCACCAGAGTGCCAACAAATCTCTTTTAATTTTCTATTTTGTCTCTTTATGTTGTTCTTTGGTTCTTTCACTTTCAGGTGACTCGCAAATCTTGATCCGAGTAAAGAATGCTCAACTCGGTGACCCCAATGGGAAACTCAACGACTGGGTTGAAACCGCTGACCCCAATTCTGCTTGTAACTGGACTGGCATTACTTGTGATTCTCAAAATCATTCTGTTATTTCAGTTGATCTATCCGGATTTAATATCGCGGGAAGATTTCCTACTGGCTTCTGTCGGATTCGGACCCTCCAGAATCTTTCGTTGGCTGATAACTTCTTTAATGGTACACTTACTTCTCGTGCTCTGTCTCCATGTTCACATCTTCATCTCTTGAATCTCAATAGTAATTTATTCGTCGGTGAGTTGCCTGATTTCTCGCCGGATTTTGTGAATTTAAAAGTCCTTGATCTCTCCAGCAACAATTTTTCCGGTGATATTCCGGTTAGTTTTGGCAGGTTTAAGTCTCTACAAGTTCTTTCCATGATGCAGAACTTCCTTAGCGGTTCAATACCATGGTTTTTAACTAACCTTACTGAGTTAACTCGCTTGGAACTCGCTTTTAATCCGTTCCAGCCGAGCATTTTGCCTAAAAACATTGGTTACTTGTCAAAACTGGAGAATTTGTATCTTTCTGAAACAAATCTCATCGGAGAAATTCCTGACTCGATTGGGAACCTCAGCTCGTTGTGGAATCTTGACTTGTCCAACAATTTCATCACCGGAAAGATTCCTGACAGCATTTGTGGATTGAAAAGCATAAGACAAATCGAGCTCTACAACAATCGACTTTCGGGTGAGTTACCTGTAAGTTTGTCAAATTTGACTACTCTGCTTCGACTCGATGTCTCACAGAACAACCTCTCCGGAAATTTACCGGAGAAAGTCGCAGCAATACAAGTCCAATCGTTGAATCTAAACGACAATAACTTCAGCGGAGAAATCCCAGAGGTTTTAGCTTTAAATCCAAATTTGTCTGAATTAAAACTCTTCAACAACAGCTTTATTGGCAAATTACCGGTGAATCTGGGCCGGTACTCTGATTTGGAAGCTTTTGATGTTTCGACGAATTATTTTACTGGTGAATTGCCGGAATACCTTTGTCAACGGAAGAAGCTTCAAAATATTATTGCTTTTGGTAATCGTTTCTCTGGTAGTTTGCCAGAGTCATTGAATGAGTGTAGCAATCTAAGTTACGTGAGGATTGCTAATAATGAACTCTCTGGTTCAGTGTCGAGCAAGTTTTGGAGTCTTTCTAATCTTAATCGCCTTGAATTATACAATAACAAATTTGAAGGTTCAATTTCTCCTACGATCTCTAATCTCCATGGACTAACTCATCTTTTAATCGCTGGCAACAAATTCTCCGGTGAATTACCGGTGGAAATTTGCAAATTGAACGAGGTTATCGAGATCAATTTGGCCCGAAATCAATTTGAAGGGGAATTGCCTTCGTGTATAACTGAACTGAAGAAATTGCAGAAGCTTGAAATGGAAGAGAACATGTTTTCTGGAGAAATTCCAAGTTCAGTAGGTTCATGGACTGATTTAACTCAGTTGAATTTATCAAGAAATCGCCTTACCGGCGAGATTCCACCAGAACTCGGTAAACTACCGGTTTTAAACTATCTCGATCTTTCCGATAACTCGTTGACTGGTGAAATTCCGGTGGAGCTGACAAAGTTGAAGCTTAATCAGTTCAATATCTCTGATAACAGATTATACGGGAAAGTACCTTCTGGTTTCATCAACACGGTTTATTTATCGAGTTTATTGGGTAACCCGAAACTTTGCAGTCCGAATTTTAAACCCGTCCCTCCATGTTCGAAAACCAAACCCGCCTCTTTGTACATTGTGGCCATTTTAGTCATTTGCCTCCTTATTCCTGTCGGGTCTCTGTTATGGTTCTTCAAAGCCAAGTGCGTATTTGTGGGAAAACCAAAATGCCCATACATGGTAACCGCATTTCAACGGGTCGGGTTTAGCGGTGAGGATATATTTCCATACTTGACAAAAGAGAATCTAATCGGGTCAGGCGGGTCGGGACAAGTTTATAAAGTTCAACTCAAGACAGGACAGACAGTGGCAGTGAAAAGACTTTGGGGAGGTATCCAGAAACCCGAAACTGAGTCCGTTTTCAGATCAGAAGTTGATACACTGGGTCGGGTGAGACATAGCAATATCGTGAAACTGTTGATGTGTTGTAGTGGAGAGGAGTTCAGAATTCTGGTTTATGAGTATATGGAGAATGGGAGCTTAGGCGACGTGTTGCATGGAGAAAAAGATGGAGGTTTAATGGATTGGCCTGAGAGGTTTGCGGTGGCTGTGGGGGCGGCACAGGGCTTGGCTTATTTGCACCATGATTGCGTACCAGCAATTGTGCACAGGGATGTGAAAAGCAATAACATATTGTTGGACGAGGAGATGAGATCGAAGGTGGCTGATTTTGGGTTGGCTAAGACGTTGCAGAGAGAGAAGGGTGAGGGCGACGCAGTTATGTCTCGTGTAGCTGGATCATATGGGTACATTGCTCCAGGTAAATATTTTATGCTTCTATATGTTATTTAGATGTAGGATTTTATGCTTCTATATTTATTATTCTGTTGAATCAATTTGCAGAATATGGTTACACGCTGAAAGTGACAGAGAAGAGTGATGTATATAGCTTTGGAGTATTGTTAATGGAGTTGATCACAGGGAAAAGGCCAAACGACTCTTGCTTTGGTGAGAACAAGGATATAGTAAAGTGGGTTGCTGAGGCAATTTTATCACCTCCACCAGAACCAGAAGAAGCAAGTGATCAGAAAACCAGAAACTACTACGGAGGTCTAAAGAAGATTATAGATTCAAGAATGAAGCAATCTACATGTAATTTTGAAGAAATTGGAAAGGTTTTGCATGTAGCTCTTCTTTGCACTTCAGCTTTTCCAATTAACAGGCCTTCCATGAGAAGAGTAGTTGAATTGCTCAAGGACCAGAAATTTCCCCATCCTAAGTGATGGATGCTTCAAAAATTATATAAGCTTTTCTTCCCTTTTCTTTGTTTTTTTGGTGAAATTAATGCTTGGCTAGTCATAGACATCATTTTTGTTCAGAACTAACTTGCAAGGTAGCCTAGCTGTTGAAGGGGGAAGAGAAATAGATGTGATGATATGGTTTTATCAATGAAGGATATTCAAATTATTGTTGCAATTATTAGGATTTATCTTGAACAATTTCGGATCTGTTATCCATGGATAAATGTACTTATATGCTTGCAATTATTTGTCCAGAGCAGCTAGAATTGCTGTGTAAAGATTATTTTTTTCTGCCAAATAAATCTCCTGATTAGAGCTGTTCTTATCATAGCCCAGGTTTGATTTTAGAAAATGTAGAATCTTTTAAATATCTGACTCATCTGGCTTATAAACAATTCTACTTTTGACTCAAATTTACTAAACTTGAATTATTTTTTAAAAATACTACCTAATCTATCATAAATTTTTATTATTTTACTTTACTATTTAGAAGATTTCATTGTCAGAGTAAGAAAGTGAATGTGACAAATTTTGTAATCTACAAGCAATTAAGGAATGAGAGTAAGTGAGCCAGCGATAAAATTTTTTAAAAGAATTACTATTTCAATCTATTAAAAAAAAAAAATAGGTTGGACAAACTTTTGAAAAAAAAAAAAATTTAGTGTTTTTCAAATCTAGATTTGGCCAATATAGGTGCAGCCACTGTTACCTAATTATTAGCTTTATAATTGCTAGAACCAGCGTCAATAATATTACTTTTGAAAGTACCCTTACCAATCTTGGCTTAGGAGGAAAGATGAATGTAGCACTTGCACTATACGGAATTATTTATCATAATTAACTAAATTATGCTTGGGAGCTAATCAGAATTGCTGAGATTGGAGTTTGGAAGGAATTTTTGGACACCAAATCTAAATTGGCTAGCAGTAAGTCAAAGATTGTCTAAACAATTTGTTGATAGAGACAATAAATTTCTCTAATCACTAATCTTCCATGGTGTAGAATAGAATGCCCTCATGACAGGGTAGATAAGATGATGTCTTTTTCTTTTATTGTTATTTTTAATGGATTTGAGATTTCCTTAAATGGTTTCATCTTTTCTTGGATTTTGTATTGTAAAATTGATTTGATAAAGTTTATTTTATATACCCTACTTTCTATGAATGGATTTATTGTGTATTTAAAAAAAAATTTTGAATTTCAATCTACAATTTAAAATTTACAAAATAATCATCTTCTTTTTCAAAAACATGTTATTGTACAGAGTATATATTATTATTACAATGGTGTAATTTAAGTAGATTATGTTGAAAATTGTGACTTGTTGTGAGGTGGAATTTGGAGGGAGTGATTGGGGCATCCATTATTAAGGAACATGCACAATCACAACGTAATGATTGAAACCTAATGTCTTTGAAAGCAAGTCAAGTGAAACCCAAGTCATAAAACATGACCTAGCCTGCAACTGACAACCCATCTTCCATATACCAATCATTTGGTGTCTGGTCTACTGATTGGACCCTGCTAAGGTTAGTACAACCGTTAAATTTCATTTTTTTGAGAGCGCAACAGCAGAAAAGATATGATCGGCCTATATCTTTTCTGCTAAATCGATAAAAAAAATGTTTTTTAGTTCTAAAATATTAAATTTGAAACATCTCATTTCTATAATAAAATCGATTAAATCATATTAGATTAAATTTTATTTTATATTGAGAAAATCACTTAATTATATAATTTTATTTTAATCAATTATTTGTTAGAATAAATCAATCAATTTAATTATAAATTTGCTCCGACTTTATTTTAAAGTTTTAAAATTATTTTTGGCATGATTATATTTTCAAAATTTAGCTCTTATTAAATATAAGCTGAATTTAACAGTCCAAATGTAATGAATCAAAAATCTAAACTGAATTGTACATAGAGTGTTTGATGATTTTAATTGATTTGGGTTTACCACTTCTTAGAATCAAATACGACCAAACAGTTATGAGCTACGGTGTCGTTTCTTCAGCATACCATTCAAATTCAAATTCAAATTCAAAAAACATTTTAAAACTAAAGGCCCGCGGAAAAAGGCAAAATAACGGTTAGATTTAAGAATGGTTAGAGCTGGTCAACTGGAGTTCTCATGGTGACGCTGACCCCACCTACGCCCCTCTCCAAATAAAAAAAGAAAAAAAAAAAAAAAAAAAAACACCACTACGCCTCCTCGGTGCAAAGGTAAAAAAAAAGAAAAAAAAAAAAAAAAAAAAACAGATAGTCTCTCTGCTTAATAAAAAAAAAAAAAAAAAAAAAAAAAACAGATGTCTCCTGCTTTATAAGGCAAGAGAGAAGTAAAGGACACACAACGATATTATTTCCTCTTTAAAAACAAGGCGTCTTTATAAACGCCTATTCTTCTCTCGATTTCCCTTTCGATCCCCAAAAAACCTCATCTGACTTCATTTTCCTTCTCTGCAAAAATGAGAGAGTGCATTTCGATCCACATCGGTCAGGCCGGTATTCAGGTCGGCAATGCCTGCTGGGAACTTTACTGCCTCGAACACGGCATTCAGGTTATTGCTTCTCTCTCTTCTGATCTTCCATTTCTTAATTTTTGTTTGATGGCAAATTCCTTGTGCTTAAAAGCATGTATATTGTGTGTTGTCCAGCCTGACGGGCAGATGCCAAGTGATAAAAGTGTTGGTGGAGGAGATGATGCCTTCAACACCTTCTTTAGCGAGACTGGTGCTGGGAAGCACGTGCCACGTGCAGTTTTTGTTGATCTAGAGCCAACTGTGATTGATGAAGTTAGAACTGGGACATATCGCCAGCTTTTCCACCCTGAGCAGCTCATTAGTGGCAAGGAGGATGCAGCTAACAACTTTGCCCGTGGCCACTATACCAGTAATACTATTATTCTCCTTTTCTGATTTGTGATTTTTCTTACTGATGTTTATTTATTATTGTTAATTGCGGACTTCTCTTGCTCCTGCAGTTGGAAAAGAGATTGTTGACCTCTGCTTGGATCGCATTCGCAAGCTTGCTGACAACTGCACTGGTTTACAAGGGTTCTTGGTGTTTAATGCTGTTGGTGGAGGCACTGGGTCAGGTCTGGGCTCTCTTCTGTTGGAGCGTCTATCTGTGGATTATGGAAAGAAATCCAAGCTTGGCTTTACTGTCTATCCCTCGCCACAGGTTTCGACATCTGTTGTTGAGCCATACAACAGTGTTCTTTCTACACACTCCCTTCTGGAGCACACTGATGTAGCCGTGCTTCTTGATAATGAGGCTATATATGATATCTGCAGGCGCTCCCTTGACATTGAGCGCCCTACCTATACTAATCTTAACCGTCTGGTTTCTCAGGTATATTTCATTTTTTCCATTTTGTGGTTCAGTCATTTATCGAATTTAAGGGGTTTTTGGCTAACTCTTTCCTTGTTTGATTTGATTATCAAGGTGATTTCTTCACTGACTGCCTCTCTGAGGTTTGATGGTGCTCTAAATGTGGACGTGACTGAATTTCAGACTAACTTGGTCCCATACCCCAGAATTTCGAATTTAAGGGGTCTTCTTGGCTAACTCTTTCTTTTTGTTTGAAATTGATTAACTCAAGGTGAATTCTTCAACTGTACTGCCTCTCTGAGGTTTGCATGGTGCCTCTCTAAATGTGGACGTGACTGAATTTCACGGACTAACTTGGTCCCTACACATTAGAAATTCATTTTCATGCTTTCATCAGGGATCCCTTCCTGTTATTTCTGCTGAAGAAGGCGCTAACTCGATGAGCAGCTCTCAGTTGGAGATCATCTAACTGTGCTTTTGAGCATTTCTTCTACTGTATGGTGCAATTGTGTGAGCCTCTGCCCCTTGTGCAAAGTTCACAATTGCTTGTTGCCCACTCATGTTACAGAGGTGATGTAAAGTGCTAAGGATGTCAATGCTGCGGTGGCTACCATCAAAACAAAAGCGCACTATTCCAATTTGTTCGATTGGTGTTCCAAACTGGTTTAAAGTGTGGAATCACTGAACCAACACCTACTGTTGTTTTCCTGGCGGTGATATTTGCCAAGGTGGCAAGAGAGACTTGTGTGCATCGATCTAAATTCACCAGTGGTTTGCTATGAGGTCTTCTCCCGAATTAGGTGATGTAGTGCCTAAGGATGTCAATGCTGCGGTGGCTACCATCAAAACAAAGCGCACTATCCAATTTGTCGATTGGTGTCCAACTGGATTTAAGTGTGGAATCAACTACCAACCACCTACTGTTGTTCCTGGCGGTGATCTTGCCAAGGTGCAGAGAGCTGTGTGCATGATCTCAAATTCCACCAGTGTTGCTGAGGTCTTCTCCCGAATTGACCACAAATTTGATCTTATGTACGCAAAGAGAGCATTTGTGCACTGGTATGTCGGCGAGGGTATGGAGGAAGGTGAGTTCTCAGAAGCTCGTGAAGATCTTGCTGCACTTGAGAAGGACTACGAGGAGGTTGGGGCCGAGTCTGGTGAAGGCGATGATGAGGAGGGTGACGAGTATTAAAGAGTGGGACAGGCTTGATTGCTTTTGTTTTTACCTGTTGTTTTCCTAGTGTTCTTCACCTTGTGCTTCTTTCAATAGCTGTGGACAGCTTGTTTTGTTTCGCTTCTGGTGAAGCAGCAGCATAGTGAATCTTATAATTTTGTTAAATAACAATGTTAAAACTATTAAATCAATACAATATCATAATAAATTTAAATTTGCAAAAAATATTATATTTTTCAATTTTTTTACAGAAAGGAAAACAAACCTGAATGTGTACATCAATTTGTATGCTTAAAACTTAAAGAGCCAAAGATAATCTGACTCTTAAGCCTTAAGTTGGCTCTTCAGTTTTAAGCATACTAATTTATTCTTTTTCCATCATAAGCAACCAGCTCCATTGCTATTGACGTATGTTTGCTTGTTTTTAGCAAAATCATTCAACTCTTAGAACTCAGCTCCATTGCTATGGGCTAGTTTCCAAATGGTTTTTAAGCATTTTTAAGTATTGCCTCTACAATGATCAAAATTATACATATACGGAAAAAAAAAAAGATTTGATAGATGAGATGAATAGTTTTACTCTGATACAAAAACCTAAGCATTTTAAAAAAAGGATGAAAACATGTATGCCACCAAAATATGTTTCTCTTCAATTGCCTGTAGAACTATGAAGTCAAGGGTCCGATCTCCCCAAATAAGAAGTCACAATAAATACAAGTGACGAAAAACATGAAGTCCAATAATCAAAATCTTTGATCTCCAGATAAAAAGTACCTCAACCATCAATTTGTGAGGGCAAAATCATTCGTCTTTTTGGTTTAGACTCCCTCTTCCATGTTTGTAAGCGTCTAGCATTTCCTCTTCTAACGGGTGGGTCTTGCCTACAATTACAAGGCAATGCAAGGGTGCTCCAAAATCAACTGCCAGCAGTTCCCTCATTGTTCCAGCAACTATCATCTGATCCTCACTGCCCAGCCGAGCAAAACCAACACAGCTAGTCCCTTCATCATATGCTGCAAGGCCATTTAAGAATGGCAAAGATACTATAATTACTACAGTATTATTTTTGTCCTTAATTGCAAGTTTTCAGAACATAGGGAAATAAAACGCACCTCATAAGCATAAAAGCTGGCATGCAGTGCATACAAGAAGCATTAGCATTAGAACCATAACAAAATCTACCAAGGACTAAGAAACAGGCAGCCACATAATGCATTTTATGCCTAGAACAGTCCAAGTGATCTAAGATTACACAGATGATATGCCTTCCTATGCAAACTCTCCTAGAACATTTTTCCCAGTTGGCAGACAATTTAGTTGCATGACATCCACAAACGACGAATTTGCAATTGAGCCTATCTGAACAAAGTGAGAGTGAATTGCCCAGAGTCTAATCTGGAAAGCAACCCAGGAGTGCATCTGGTGCAAGAAATAGAGATGAACAAAGCTTGTTTTTTATGTGGATGATTTAAGTTGACAAAGAACAACATGCAAGACAAGAATTGTTCAAATGCTAGAATTGGGAAGTTACTCAGCCTTCATAAGCACACAAGTATAACATGCAAGTAGTCTCATGTATAGAGAAAATTATTAGAGTTCCACAGGCTATTGTGAAACCCTAAAGAATATAAATAGGATCAGCACATATCAGATTGGTATTCTAGTTTAAGGGTCCCATTAGAAGGAAACTATTGTTAAGCCATAAAATGATAAAATTGAGAGTCATAAAAAATGATAACTAAAGCATTAGAGTTTGAAAAAGTAAAACATTATGAAGGTAACACATTTTTGTTGCATGGAAAAATGGTGAAGAATTATTACAGCATGAAATCCTGAAGATGGCAAAACTCTTTGTGGGACTCACCAGATTCCCCGCGCCTTTGCTCAACTTCCAAGAGCTGTTCAATTGCAGTGTTGATTGTCATGTATCTTGGGGGTTCGTACTTCTTCCTTCCTCTGGACAATTCAAATTATAAATGAATAAAAAAGAAACAGATTTAGTCCAGCAATTGTTGAAAGTGCAGAAGAGCACAAAAGAACAAAAATATTATCAAAGAAAAACTTAAATTTCCTTTAACACATACCTAGCCAATGATTCCCACGAAGGTTCCTTCACTCGTATGTCTGCAGTGGAGACAAAAAATTATACTTTATTGGATTTTTGTGTCAGATATCACACAAAATAGGAAGAAAATGCAAGCCACTAAATAAACCATCTAGAGTTTTAAAGAGTTTCTCTTTTACTTCAAGTTTTTCCGCTTAGAAGAAGTGCCTATCTGAGTGCTAGTAAATTTGTCCAAGTTTGGATTGCCAATATAGCCAATCTCAAAAGAAATTCTGAAAATTCTATCCATGTAAAAGGGGTTCATGGTACCCAAGGCCACAAGTATGTAATTACCTCTCTTTATCAAAAAGAAAAAGAAAATGACCTTCCAAAGTTTAATCTAAATAGAATGGCATTCAAAACTATGCCAAGATTTTTAAGTATATTGACCTCATTCTCTCATTTTTTCCAGGGAAAGAAGAAATAAGAAAATCCTATATCAAATGACAGCATACTGAAATGGCATCCATGTGATAGATAATCAAAGCACAAACGAGTCTGGTAATGCATTTTGTACAGATTCAAAGTCTTGTTGTTATTCTTGAAACAAAAAGAAGAGTGAATGCATTAGTACAAAATTTCACCATATGGTGTTGCAGTTGCAAGAAGAAAATTTTAAGTAGCAAATTTCACAACCATAAAACTAAATTTAGATTTGTGAAAATTAAAAGCTTACCTAACAAGCAAAGCGTATGCAATCCAAGTTCACGATTTATTCGTATCTTCTCATAAAAGCTATCAGGTCTCCATGTATCACTAAAAAAGGGTATTGAGACGGTCTCCCCATAGCGATATAATTGTAATCCACAAATTCCAATTGCATTCATCACAGATGCATTATGTACTACTTTGACATTAACCCTCAATGTGTTTGCTCGAACAACAAGATCTGAATGTGTTGTAGCACTGAATTCCAAATCAAATTATCCAAATAAGTAATGTATAGCAATTAGAGAACAACTAATCCAGTAAAACGAAAGCATAAAATAGCAAACTTCACAATACAACAACAAAATCCAAACTCAAGTAAAATTCAATAGATACAATACCCAAAAGGATCTCCAACAACAAGGAAAGCCACATCAGACACACGAGCCTCTGATAATATATCATCAGCCTTTTCTTCTACCATCTCTCTATCAGCAATGGTGATTCGTTTCCCGTACAAATTTTCCTGCAAAGAAAATTAACATTTACATATCTAAATGAAAAGATATGAAAAAATAAATGAGAATTAGAAAAAAGGAGAGGTTTAAAGAAGTACCAGAGTAGAAAGTCCATCTCCGGATAAGCCAAAGGAGAGGAGAGAAGTGTACGCTTCCATGTAAACTTTCTCGCATTTTTTTACTGCTTCTAAGCCTCTAATGGTGATGTCCTTCTCATCTCCCAATCCCAGACCAACTATGTACAACATCTCTTGCCTCTCTGCTAAATTTTAAAGCTTTAACTTCCTTTTGGAGTTCGTCTACTATAAGCAAAGAGGCAATCAGAGATTGATCTAAAGAGAGATCACAATGCTAGAATTATGCGAGCGGGGAAGAAAGTATGGTTTTAGGATGAAACTATAAACCCTACACCAAAACAACATAGTTGTGGTGATCACTGTAAACCTAATTTATGTTCTTTAAAAAAAAATAAATAAATATATGGTAATTTACATATACTGGAATCCCGGAGCCATATCTGCTTGTCCTAGACGGTCTATAGGTGATACAATAATAAGGAGAAAACATCAGATTCTAAAGAAGTGAATAAGGTTATCAACTAGAGAATTTAAAGAAAAGTCTACTCAATTTATTCTACCGAAATTTCGGCAGAATTTTCCCTAAAAATCAGATACAAAGTCCCTGTGAAAAGCAACAAAAATAAGGTAGTTCAACTACCATCATCATCAATCACACAAAGCCCATCCTTCGGGGAATCCAAATCAATAATTTCCATCCTCCATTCATCAACATAACTCAAGTATTCATTCACTAGTCTCAACATCACCATGTATGTATTTTACATCTGGTATATACTATATGAAAAACAAATAGCAAGTTCTTGTCAACAATGGTAATAATAATCTGAACTTGTCTAGCGCGCACCCAGTTATGTCCAATCAAGTTCATAGGCATTTCCAATGCTTGACAGTTTAATAAATCCATAATTCATTATTATTGATATCTAATTTGACAACTAACTCAGTTCTATTTATTCAATTCCGTTGAGTTTCCGTCAATCTAAAACATCATCTTCACATTTTTTTTTTTTATTGAACTAAGGTTGAGTATCACATAACAAACTAGAACCTAGCAATTTGTATTTCCATCAAAGAGCTAGAACCTTACTCTTATCCTTATTTCAAATCATTGATCACTTCTAGCTATTATTAAAGATGATTACTTCAGTTAATTAGCTAACAACATTTTTCCTAGGAATATCTTAACTCTTGTTTTATCGATTTCTGTGATTTTTGGCTTTGAGGTCTGTTTGTCTAATTGCATCGATTAATATTTCAAGTATCGAATGGCATCTATTTGCAAAACTAATTACTTATTCATGACCAACACATTAGACGGAGCATTCTACCTACTGTAATCATTTCCGGTTACCAGAGCCACCGTCTACGTGGCCAGAGGAGCGGTGGTTACCGAATTCCTCAAGATTCAAATGTTAGCGGTAGTTTTTCATGTAGAACTCGATTCCCAAATCAATTTCACAATCCAATGCCTAATTTATCAAAATCCCAAAATTTTATTCAAACTATATATATACTAAAACGAAATCCAAAATTACTGTTCATAGAACAGTGTAATGCCCTTTAAGCCATTTCATTTTAATGTTATTCCTGTCTTGCCCTTATTCTCTCTCGAAACTTCTTCATTTAATGCTAGATTTTTTTTTTCCATGGCGAATTCACTCTTATCTTCTTCATCACGTATCTTTTCCACATAGTACCTCTACTTCGCCGACTTCATCTTCCTTATGTGCTTCTTCTCCGATTTCATCTATGCACTGTGTTCCTAATTCTTCTTCTCTTCTCTCTTTGTAAAATCTCTTCTTTTCTGTTGCACTTCATTACTAACTAGGTTTTCTTCTCTGTTTGGTTATTTGGGTTTTCATAGAAATAGTCTTATATGTTATTTGGATTTTGATAAGAATAACTACTATATTTTCTCTCTTTAATTAATTCCTTTAATTTTTCAGGAAATTTGCATGCTTTATAATTGATTATGAACGAATTTTCTCATCTTCTCTATCTTTGTTTTATATTTGATTTTATACAAATTTGTTTTATTATTTGATTGTGACTTGAGTTTGTTAATTTTGAACTGCTATTCTTTATTAGAATGATTTATGGGTACTATGAAATGAAAATAGATTATGAAATGGTTTCATTGATGTTTTTCTCAGGGATCCAATGACTATAGATGAATCAAGGAATTGCTATGTCTTATTGAAGATCGGATTAGTAATTATGGATGATATTCATTATAACTCATTAACTTTATAAATGCTATGAAAATTTTCAATTATACATTTGCAAGGATACAGTTGGACACGTTTTAAAGGTACGGGTAGAATCTTGAATCTTATTGATATTTATCTTTTAGATAGATAGATTATCATGTTAATTTTGTCAACTTTTTCTATGCATCATGGTCATAGGCAAAGAGTATGGACAATCGTATTCAACAAGAAATTAATCTAGCTTTAGTTATCTAACATATAAATGGTTTTATAGTCTTAATTTGGAACTATCTACCTATGGTGTTCCATTGGGAAGGGTACTTATTTTTCTTCACTACCTTAGTTGCAATGATATATCTTACTAAAAATTGTTTATTGGGACTCAAATTGAATTTGTTTTCAGCTAGACTCATGTTATTTGATTGAATATGTGCTATTGTTTACTGTTGTTAAGCTTGTAGAGATTCAATATAGGCTTAGTTTATGAGAAATGAATGAAAAAGAATGTCACAAGAAAACCTCAGGTTTGATTTTTGTATTTTTCTTTGGGTTGATAATGGTTAATGGTTAGAGTTGGTCAAGAAGCTAAATTTAGTTGGCAAAATAAATTTTGTAACTAGACTTTTCGGGAATGCTGTCAAGCAGTTTTTTAATTTCCCTTTTCCCCTCTTTCATATACCAATTCAAAGTGTAGGGCTTCAAATTTTTGTGTCATCCAGTGGTTGCTCTTCACTCTTTTTTACACAATTTATGTAAACAAAATTCTGCAAATGAGATTGGATCATTAGAGAGTATAATGAGATTTTTTTTTTTCTTTTTTTTTGGGCATTTGATGAATTGTTTGTAAAGGTTAATGAATTGAACAATCACTTTTGAGAAGTGTCAGGGGCTTTTGAATTCAATATCCAGCTCCATTAATTCAAAATATATGGTGATTGCCCAACTCCATTATGCTATATAATTTTAAGTTGCATCCTGTTCATCTATATTCCATTTGAACATATTTTGTACATTTTGAATGCTTTAGGTTTCTGCTTACCATCTGTTTAATTGTCTGTTTCAGTGTGATACATTTATAACCAAATTCATTTTGATGGTTGAGAAGGGCTTAAACTAAGTTTCAACCTCACTGCCCCTTTTAATATATTGGATGCAGACGGTTAAGGGACAAAAGAGAAAGTTGGAAGAAAAGTGAGCAATTGCTAAATCAACGGATGTTTGTATACTTTCTTACTAAGAATTTTACTTTGATTTTTTTTTTTTTGTTTTCAATTTCCAGTTTGTAGATTAATTTTTAAAGTTTCTTGCTGCTTTGATGTATAGAAAACAGTTAAATCTTTAACCATCAATATATATCTGCATGTAATTTAATACTCTATATGTGACTTTTATTTGGTTATATGTGCTTTGTATGAAAATTACTGATATGCAAAAAACAAAGCAATATAAAGCCGCTGCGAAGCGCGGGCATATTTGCTTGTTGAAACCTAAATTCTAAACCCCCTTCAATGTTCATTCAGTGACCAAATCAATCAAGAATAAGTTAATCAAAAGCATTGAGGGTCGATTTTCAACTAACCTGAGCAAAGGGAAGTTCCGGAAATGCTTGAGCTCGCCGGAAGTCGAGAAAGAGAGAACTGTCGAAGGAGGTAGCGGCGTCGCAGGAGATAGCCTTGTTTCGTGGTTCAGGCTTCGATCGTTGAAGGGATGGCCGAAGTCAAGGTCTCCGTCGATCGCCGCCTTGGCCTCGGCAAGCGGTGGCCGAAACACTGATCGGGGAGGAGAAGGAAAGGAGATCGCAGTGCTGCGATCGGGAGAGGATTTTGGGGCTTCTTTTCCCTTTTGGTTGTTTCTCTCTCCTGTTTCTATATCTGGTTGGGCTCAATTCACTGGTTCGGCTCAATTCACATGGAAACTTATAGATTTTAACGGGTTTCAATGGTTTATGCTTGGTCCGATCTTCCTGGTTAGCGGTTTGGTTTTCCTTGTTTTATTATTCTTATTTTTGATTTACACTGATTTGATTTAAACGAAACTAAACTAAACCGATCTGATGACCCCCACCAAAAACATGACTTGTTTTAGGATCCTCAAGTCAAGCCATCTAGCAAATAGCTAAAAGTTGCCTTTCTGTCCTATAGTCTAATAAAACCACATTTTTAATATTCTGCGTATGCATGTGGCATGACATATATATGCAAAAGGTACAGAGCGGGTCCAAAACATACCATTGATTCCGGCTCGGGTAGGACCATATGATTTAGAAAAATTTTACAGCAAATATTTAATGTCACTTTCAGTGAGTTTAACTGGAGTGTGTCATTCCAATGAGACCACTAGTGAACATTCTGGAATGGTAATGGGATTTTTTAAATTGGGTAAAAGAAAATATATTATAATTGATATTATAAATATTTAACTTTGGTTTATGATTGGAGAATGGATTGACTTATTTTCTATTCCCTGAAGCTGGCCGGCTTCCATCTGATTGCTTTTGTATCAAATTTATATATTTTCTTTCAACTGCTATAAAGTAAAGGGAACTGCCCTTTGCCAAGGGATGAACATATTTTCTTTCAGTTTGGTTTGATTATCCAGTAAATTTGATTCGGTTCGATTTTATATGAAGCCAAAATAAATTTTATAGAAAACTTTTTAGTTCAAATTAAAAAATCGGCCCAACTGACATTACTTTTAGTTGATTATATTTCGTTTTTCAATTAAATTAGTTCATTCAGAAAAATAGAACTTTTAATTTTTAATATTTTTATCGGATTAGATTTGATTATACATGCTTATTTGATTAAATTTCATTAGCTGTTTTTCTAAAATTTAACCATTTTCATTAAGAAGGATCAAATTCAATTTGATTTAGTTGAACACTAACCCACGCCTTCGACCAAAAAAAAAAAAATAGTACTAATAATGCCTTAAACATGCATTTCCCATATCTTTTTTTATTATTATTAAAGGTTGTAAACCAAAGTTTCGATATAATAAATTAGTAAATACTTAAAACTAAAAATCATTCATAACCCATACTTTTTTGTTTAACCTATAGTTATAGTTATAACGTCTTTATTGAATTAACAAACTCCATTAACGTAAAATAACAACTTTTCTTCTAAAAAAAAGTAGTAACAACTTTCCTTTATTTATTTATTTTATTTTTTTTTTTTTGACTTCAACAACTTTCCAATATAATTAAAAAAAAAAAGAAAAAAAAAAAATTAAATTTTCTATTCTGAGACATGGAGGCTTCCATCTGATTTGCTTTTTGTATCAAATTTATATATTTTTCTTTCAAAACTGCTATAAAAGTAAAGGGAACTGCCCTTTGCCAAGGGGAATGAACATATTTTTTCAGTTTTGGTTTGATTAATCCAGTAAATTTGAATTCGGTTTCGATTATTATAATGAAGCGAAAATAATTTTATAAGGAAAACTTTTTAGTTCAAATTTAAAAAAATCGGCCCAACTGACATTACTTTTAGTTGATTATCTTCTTCGTTTTTCAATTCACGTGTTATTAGATGATATATATAATTTTTTATTTATCGGTTAGATTTGAATTATACATGCTGTATTGATTAAATTTCATTAGCTGTTTTTTCTAAATTTAACCAATTTTATTAAGAAGGAATCTAAGATACTAATTATTTAGATTAGTTAGTGAACACTAACCACGCCTTCGACAAAAAGAAAAAAAAATAGTACTAATAATGACCTTAAACATGCAATTTCCCATATCTTTTTTTTATTATTAATTAAAGGTTGTAAACCAAAGTTTCGATAATAATAAATTAGTAAAATAACTTAAAACTAAAAATCACATTCATAACCCATAACTTATATTTGCTTTAACTATAAAGTTAATAGTTAATAGCAAAAGTCTTTATTGATTAACAACTCATTAACGTAAATACACACTTTTTCTTCTAAAAAGAAAGATAGTAACAAGGGTTCCTTATCTTATTTAATTTTATTTTTTTTTTTTTTTGACTTCAAACAACTTTCCAATATAATTAAAAAAAAGAAAGAAAAAAAAAGGAATGTGCCGCATCCACAAAACGGGAGGAAATAATGAGATGAGAAAATTTGAGAAAAAGGACAAAAACGACTCTGTCAAGTAAACGACACACGTGGTTTCCATTCTTAATTAAAAAAAAAAAGAAAAAAAAAAAAGGAATGTGCCGCATCCAAAACGGCGAGGATAATGAGATGAGAAAATTGAGAAAAAGGCAAAAACGACTCTGTCAATAAAACGACACGTGGTTCCCATTCTTCATCCCACACGCTTACTTGATTCTTCCTTAAGCCAAGATTGGCTCCCTCTCCCTCCTTCGCCAGTCATCAGACGTAAACATCTCCTTCTCTCCTTAATAAATGACAGTCAAACCTCTCTCTCTCTCTCTCTCTCTCTCTCTCTAACCCATACGTATCTTTAATCTCCATTCCTTTGGTTCTAACGGACCGCTACACTTTCTCTCCTCCTCCAAATCCGTTCTATTCTACGCAACCTCATTTCAGTACTTACACTTCTCTTCTGTCTTTATTTATACATATACTTTTTTTAATTTTTAACCTCTTTCTGCATAAAATATCTCTCTTTTTTCATTTCTCTGACCTCTATTCAAGAAAACCAACAATGGCGACTAAGCTTGTTTGCTTTTCCTTTGCAGCTTATGCCAAAACCCTTATTGACCATTTAAAATCTCTTAATATTCCTATTCTTCCTGGCCTAACTGACTCAGAATTCAAATCCATAGAATCTACTTACCGTTTCTCTTTCCCTCCTGACCTTCGTTCCATTCTTCAAGAAGGTCTTCCTATTGGGCCCCATTTTCCAAACTGGCGTTCTTCCTCTCCACAGCAAATCCAAATTCTTTTAAATCTTCCTATCTTGAACCTTTCCAAGAATATTAGTCAAAACAATTTCTGGGTTGATTCTTGGGGTGATAAACCAGAAGATAGTAATAAAGCATTAGATATGGCAAAAAGGTTATTCTTTGATAAAGCACCTGTTCTTGTTCCTATTTATGGCAACTGTTATATTCCTTCTACGCCTAATGACGCCGGAAACCCTGTTTTTTGCGTCGATAATGGAGGCGTACGTGTTTTGAGCTTTGATCTTGCTAGGTTCTTTCAAGAAGTTGAATTCTTGCAAATTGGTGTTCATTCTATCAAACCAGTAAATTTTCCAAGAATTGAAAAGGTAGCCATCAATGTGCCGGTCTGGGCGGCCACAACTGCACGAAAGATTGATTTTTGGACAGATGTGGCCGAAAATGGGAGGAAGGTGGTGGCGCGTGAGGACACACATGGGTGGTGGACTGGTGGGAATTTGGATTGTAGCTGGGAGATGGGTGATTGTTTAGAGGAGGTGTTTTGGAGGCTGAGAGATGGAGGGTGGAAAGAGGAGGAGGTTAGAGAGATGATGATGATGGACGGTTGTGATGAGGGGATGAAGAAAGGTTGTGGGCCTAAGCTTGGGAAAGAAGATGTGGTATGGCACGTGAGATTGATGTCACTTGTGTTATTGCGTGCGGGATGGAGTAGGGAAGATGTTGTGTACTCGCTTGAGCTTCAAGATAATGAGGATACTAATTCTATTGGGAAATGCTTTTTAGATTTTCAACTTCCAAACAGTAGTTGTTCAAGACAGGATGATGATCATCAACAGAGCAGTATCAAGCAGTTGATGAACATGCGATCACTTGAAGTGTAATGTGATCCTCTCCGGCCCCACATTACTGTGGTCCCACAAGTTTTGCCTTTTCTTTTTTTTCTCTTATTACAGTATAATATAATATACTAATATTTTTATTTTTCTTTTCTATGATGATTCATTTTTCATCCCATGTTTATTCATTTCGTTAAACATTGTAAATACTATATTTTCTTTCTTTTGGCTTGTGATTAATTATATATGAAAAAGAGTATGGGAATGGGATGTGTTTAATAGTATAAATATACTGATATTTCCCGAATGTAATTTTTATATTTATTAGTTCATGATATTTTCTGAATGTAATTTTTATATTTATTAGTTCATGATGGGGTGATGTTATTTTCAGAGCATAAATTCCATATTCATCCATAATATCTTAACTTTTCACCCATTTCTACCATCGTCTCTTTCTTCACCTTATAAAATAAAACAACCAATTTTTTTATTTATCAATTTTTAATTTTTTAATTATTTATTTATTTCTATTTCTCTATTTATTCTGACCGTTAAGATCCATCAATCTTGCCCATTTGCAATCAAAATTTGAAACTTGCTTTTTGGTTTTTAAATAACCTGAGATAAGAGAGATATTGCATTTGATTACAGGATTCAAAACATATTGAATTTGGATCGAAAATGGTGGGATTTAGTTACAGTAACCGGTACATTTTAAGGATAGAAGAAATCACCAACTCTAGAAAGAGGAGAAAGAGGAAATGGGTTTATCAAAACCAAATCTAGAAAGGATAAGGAAGCAAAACATGAGATTTTTTGAACTTTGACATTCGAGTAAAAACTCGGGCAATTTTACATTAATGAAGATTCATCAAAGTTTAAGTGAAATAATGTAAAGATGACACAAATAAAAGGAATATAAAGGGTAATTTGTCTATTAATAGATTTTGTTCTGCTAATAATAATTTAAGCTCTGGAAATCGGCTAGGTTGGTATTTAAGTTAGGGAAAGATTTACCTTCTTTCAGCATATGGTCCATCTATACACTAGATTAGAATTGAGTATTTAGTTAACTGAGCTAAACTAAACCAAATAAACTCAATTTCAGTCTAAACAAACTCATTTTTATGACAATTGAATTTAAAATCGAATAGTATAAAAATCAAATAAAATTAAATTGAATTGATCGATTTGATTTGAATTCAATTATTTTAAACCATATAAGCTACTTTGGGTGATAAAAATAAATTTAATTTATTATATATAATAGTCAAACTATTTGGTTTTTTCACTAAATTTTTAAAACATCCAACCGAATCTCATCAAAATGGATAAATTTGGTTCTATTTTCAATTACAAATAGATTATTGTTCACCCCAACATCAAACCAACCTAAAACAAATTTTAGGTTATAAGGAGGATATTCAAAAAACCTTCATTCACCGGGATAAGCAAGTCTTATCCTTCAAGTTACGTATTTCCTTATCAGCAATTTTGAATACCTAATATTGATTTAGAGATTTTTATTTTGAATAGTATTAAAATAATGAAAAATCTTTTCAGGAATGCCTCCTTTAATGGGAAAAGCAAATAATTACTATTATTAATTAAAAAAAAACAAAACAAAACACTTATTTTCCCAAAAAAGAAAATCACCATTTATTGATAAAAACAGGATACTAATTCTGGCTACTATTCTGATGATAATCAAAATAATATATAAAAAAAGATCTTCATTTCATGCAACATTATGTATGGCTATTTTAATAAACAACCGACTTATGATGGTGCAATGCTTCTTAATGCTAATAATACGTGGCATTTACATTTAAAATAAATAAATAAACAATGCACTTATGAAATAACAATATAAAATTGGAAATGACTATTGTAAATTATAAAACAAGAGAGTAATTTACATATCTTCTCGAAAAATAGAGCAATTTACTTCTTAAAATTATATTCTTTAGAATTTATAATTTAAAATTATTATAATGCCACTTTTCAATTTCCAATATATTAATAAAAATAAAACATAATTATGCTGATAAAAAAAATCATAGGTTTTTCATTAATCCTGAATTCTTTCTGAATTGTAGTTTTAACATGCGTTGTAAGTAATGATTAAATGATAAATTTCACGATGAAAACAATGCCATATATCATTAAAAAAAAAAAAAAAAAATTCTGAATTGGTAGTTTTAACAATTAGTGCGTTGTAAGTAATGATTAAATGATTAAATTTTCACGAAATGAAAACAATGCCATATATCATTAAAAAAAAAAAAAAAACTCAAAAAAAAAAAAAAAAAAACTCATAAAAGTCAATTTTGTAATTTTCTAATATAAATTTCGCTTTTGATAATGATGTTTCGGTATCACATCCTTTGGGGGTCTCAGTCTACTTGTTATGTTATAATTCGACAAAATAATTTAACGTTTTTGGTGTTTTTCTTCTTTGAATTGACACAGCTGAAATATTACACAAGCAATTGAAGAAAAAGGAAATTCTTTTTATTGTTTTTTCAAAAACAATATATTTAAATAGACTATGACTTTGAATTCTTTGGATTAGATAGTCAGGCTTTTGAAATTAGAAAAATTGAATTTTTAGCTCAAATTATATAAATAAATTAGAATTTATTGAAAACAAAAGAAATATAAATATTTAAAAAAATACTCAAACGTGTTACATGTATAGTATTATCTTTATATATAGCAAGGGATTAATTCTCTTTTGTTTTGGTACTATGAAAGGCCTTCTTTCTCATTTTGGGTTTTGGGTTTTGGCAATTGCAAACTCAATCAATTTTGTCTCTTATCTCGAAAGTTCTAATGTTTCAAGTTTCAACAATTGAAAATTTGCAAAATCTTTAAGAATAGAACAAAATCACCAAACCAAAATTAAATCATTTAACCAAAAGCCAATCTAAAAAGCCTAACGTTGCACTAACGTTGTACATGACTAGACCAAAGTTGGTTTGTGTCTCTACAAAGAGCAGAGTTTTGTTTTATTTAGGTGCTAAAAAAAAAAAAAAAAAAAAAAAAAAAAAAAAAAAAAAAAAAAAAAAAAAAAAGCCTCAATATCACTATAATAATCTAGCCAATCATATATAACATGATTGATTTTCTCTATGTTCTGTAAAAAAACGTGAAAGGAAGCTTTCGGATAGACAAAAGTTGAGTTTTGATGCGTAAAAGAAGCTTTTTTTTTTTTTTAGTACTAAAGAAATCAAGACTTAATATTATTATAATAATCTAATCAATCACGTTTGATCTAATTAATTTGCTCATGTCCTGTGAAGCATGTGAAAAGTAGAAGATTTTGGATTCGAATTATCTACACTATAAAAATTATCACTAGTTTAGTGAATATATTGAAAGGGAAAAGATATTGTTATTATGTAATCCGTACAATATTCTTCGAGTCTATTGAACTTCCTACAAATTTTTTAAAAAATCACTGTAATAATCTAAATTATGTAGTGAATCGGTCAATTTTTAGAACCGACACCCATGAAAATATTGCCTATTTTTGGGCTTGTCATCGTCATTGAACATTGCTTACCGATGCAAGATTGAGTTATGTACATGAGATTACCGAAAGACAAACTTGCTATGCTTTATGTATTGTCTGTGACATCTACTGGCATGTGGCTGGCTTTTCAAAGGGGATCCTTCTGTTGTTCACATTACGTACGTAGACTAGCTAAGAATTGCAAGTTGGAAATTGTCCAAGTCACAACTTTGTTTCCTTTTTCTTTTGTCAGCAATAACTTTTTTCCTTTTTTTATTATTATTAGCTATAAAAAATTTATCAAAATCAAACATCTACATCTAAATCAACATGCTCTATACATCTAAACTTGACTCGATAATATCAAGTGAAAAAAAATCTAGTAGAGGCAGATTAGAAGCAAACCTAAGGAACGTTATAAATATTTATATATAAGTTACGGACCACTTAAATAATTATAGTAAATTTCAAGGATGAAATAATTATTTTTCCGTATTATATCTTTGATGAATAAAATTAAAACTAAGATATTTTTAATAAATGTGTCATGTTTTTAAAATTTTTTACAGAATATTTTCACATCCTTTTAGGTATAAAATTGATTACATTTTGAGATTTATGGTTCCCTCCCTATGAATACGCCACTAATTTTAAACTGAGATAAATAAATCTACACAATCAAACTATCAACTTTTTTTTTAAATTTATTGGAGGCTTTTAAGGGCTGAAATAATACTGCAAGCTACATAATATGAGCTAACAGTCTCCTTGGCTCACCAATTTGCTAAAAACAAATATCACTTTTGAGTCACTTATTTCAAATGATAAATATTTTACCAACCGGTAAAAAAAGAAAGTGTTCCACGCATGAGTTTTAATTTTATTTACGACGGAACCAGAATTGAGACCAAAATCAGACCGAAATCAGTGAGTCCAAAACCCACACAAACAAAAGGACCGGTTCTAATTTCAATTCTGAGTCTCATCGATAATCAGAATGGCCCTTCGGGTTCAACGAGCCGGTCAGGTATACCTAGCAGTCAAACAGAAAGGTCGAATCATAAATTCTCTCCTCACGGCCCAGTACTTATGGGCCTACTACTTTCTTAGCCCCACTATAGAATGAGAAACCCAATACTTATGGACCTAATCGCTCGCATAACAATTGAAAAAGTATCAGCTCCGGCTATAGAAGGCGAATGCACCATGGCTACCACTGTGTGGCTCGGCTGGTGCTGCTCTTCAATGGAGATTTATGCGATCAATACTCCGTTTTTGCTCGGAGTTTCACTTTTCGTCAGTTCTTATGTGAATTCTATAATTTCATATCGAGACCATCTACATAATAGGTTTATTTAATTTCTACCTTCCTGTTTTTTATTTTTTTTTTTCATTTTAATTTCTGTTATTCGCATCCTTATCGAGGCTTAATTTTATACGAGCAATTACATGCTGATAACTAAAATATGAATTCAAATTTCAGTTAACCTTTTATTTTTGTTTTAGATTTCTTCATTGAGAAATGGACCGTTGAATTTGGATATAATGTCAATTTATTAAAGCTTGTTGTTAAATTAAGGAACATTAACTCTTAAATCCTGAGTTTACTATTATTGTATATGTCGTTGCAAATTCACTTGGCATGACTGTGATTATAATGAATGTTGTTGACTGATGATGGTATTCATGTTGCTTTTTTATTCTTTCTATATTGGGTTCATTTACAAGATATTTAGGTGTTATTTCTGGAAGTTGCTATTAAAATAAGGAATGTAAGGGATGATAGCTAACATAGCAGTGTATTTTATGACCAGGAATCCAAAAGAAGTAGAACAAAGTAAAGAGTATTGATTCAGTGAACTTAAATTAGAATAGGATTAATGTTTTTGTTGAATTGAGCAACTGAAATAATCATATGCTTGTAGTACAATAGGCACTGGCTTCCAGATAGAAATTCTTGTTGCATTGTGGTTTTGGTGAGTCATATGTTTGTGAATATATGTGATTCGCTTTTAGAAGTATCAGGAACAAGGGTCGACATTTCCACTTAATGTGCAGAATAGGATGTTGGCATTGCTATCGCAGGTTTACAAGAGAAGCATTGGACATTATGAGTTGGAAGTGCAAGATTTGATCGTCTTTAAATTCTTTTGTTTTTACATGGTGCTTGTCACCTCATATTATTCTTTAGCTACATTTTTTGTTTTTTTGTAAATGAACTACTATTATGTGCTTTTTGTCACTTCCCTCTAACTCTACCCTAACCTATGAGTTGGAACGTGATTTATAATGGAGTTAAAATATTTTTCCTATAGGAGTTTCATGAATGATTTGTTTCTAGCATGATTCTATGAAAATTATCTGAGAGACAATACAAAGCTGGATCAGTGGATACAACTAATAACAAATGGACTTTTTACATTCAATGGAGGGATGCTTGGTCATCTGAAGGACAGACATTTCAGAAGAAACTTGATGAATTGGTTACAAATCTAAGTCAACCTTGACTCTAATATGCGTATGCTTGCATGTGCAATTGATCTAGTCTCATCATTTGTGTTTATAATTTTCCTTGTATATGCACATCTCTTGGACTACTATAATGACTAAGAGATTCATCCTCAAGTATGCATATTAGAATGTCATGCCATATGTATGCTGCTTTGCCGCCCTAGAGCCTGCAATATGTGAAGCCTAGTAGTGCACCCTTTATTTTGTAATCATTCTAACATAGTGAGACATAACTTATCACATGCAGTGAGCCAATGACTGATGTATGGGGGTGAAACGTTTGAGATAAATTAGGTTTTAGATTTCTTTTTAAAATTTTATTCATTGATATTATCATATACTCCATTTTTTTTAAGTGAATACTCTTGGAATTTTACTTATTATCATGGTTTTGTTTGCTTTTTTCTTTTTCCATGGCATGCTTTTTGCAAGTTTTATTGAGGAACTTGTCATAATAACAATATTTATTACATTTCTCAGTACTGAACTGGTAATGGGGAGGGCACTAATTGTCACATTAGTTGTAGGGCCATACTGTTATCATGCCAAAAGGGAGACTCTCCTAAAGTTGTATTTGTGCACACGTTTCAGAGTATTGTTTTTATGTCTATGTTATGTGTGTATGCATATAGATATACATATATTCTGATGTAGGTGGGTGAATTTGTATGTGTATAATTATGTGATACATGGTTGATCACTAGGACTATTTTTTCTTCCTAATAAAATATCGTGCTTATACCAACCTGTAGAAGGAAAGTCTTCATGGTTAAGTAACCATATCTACTTTCTTTATGAAAGTTGGTTTTGGTTAACTGCAGGCTTAAGGTACTATGGCCAAATTTGCCCTGAGTCCCTATAATTATTTTTATTATTTTTTTTTTAAATTTTGTCCCCGTTAAAAGAAAAGAAACTGCTTTTGCAACATAATAAAAACCTGACATCTCAGATATTTTTCCATGTTTACTTGAAAATTTTTTCAAAATATTGTAATAACATAAAATAATCGTTGAGGTTATTATTTTCTTACCAATTCTTGAGGTTACTATAGTTGGGTATACGATTTCCTTACCAATTCTTGTGCATGTGGTAAGATATCTATCTTCATTACATATATATTTTTTTAAAAAACATTTTAGAGTCTATGTGCTCAGATTAGAAATGTGTGGTACATATGACTTACATGTTAGGATGAGTAGAGCTAAATGTTGGTATGTGACCGTTAGTCATTGATATAGGGTGGTCCTTGAGTCACATGGCCAGCGTAGAATTTTTCTATCTTGGTAAGTTCGGTAGGCTTGTTTTGGATTTTAACTCCCATTCCTATTTAAATTATTAAAAAGTCGAGTAAACTTTAACGCTGCCAACTAAGGATATTCTGTATTTGTAAATTTTATTGCTATTCGCCCGAGAGTGACGAGATTCTCATTATCTTGTGCTTTGTGATAATATATGGAAGGATTTGGAGGTGACCAATCCAGGAATAGAGTTGTTGTGGATGTGTGAGCTAGCTATCGCCTCAAATCCCTATAAATCATTTTGATTTTCATCAATTTTTCATATTCAGGGTTAACTTGTCTTTCCATTTTATTGTTTTATTGCAGGAATTGTCAACATGGTGCTTAAGAAGACTACAACAAAGATGACTCTGGGAGAGAATGGTCGCCATTCTTTTACAAAGCGTCGATCTAGCATTTTCAAGAAGGCCAGTGAAGTTTGTACCTTGTGTGCAGTTGAAACTGCAGTTGTTATCTTTTCCCCTGGTAGCAAGGCCTTCTCCTTTGGTCATCCCAGCTTTGATGCAACTATGAATAGGCTTGGCAACCCAGGGGATCCACATTCTAGTGTTGCTAAGCATATGGCTGAGCATGAGGCAAATACTGGTGCGCTTAACAAGCAGTATGCAGATGTGCATCAAGAACTAGCTGTTGAAAAAAGGCAAGGAGAGGAACTCAAAAAGTCGGGAAAGGCTCAGGGCATGCCGTCGTTTTTTTATAAACCCATTGAGCAGCTCAACTTGAATGAGGTGTTGACAATGAAAGCTTATTTGGAGAAAGTTAAGGCAATTCTAGTGAAGCGACTTGTGGAACTTCAGATTCGGAATTTTGGTCTATCTGCAAATTCTGCTGCAGCCTATGGTCCTATTGTTTTTAACCCAAAAGGAATTGGTGCTCCTCCTCGTGAATTGCGCTTCCTCTAATGATTGAATTCTGAGTTTGAATAAGAGTGATGGGGAGAATTTGGTTTAGTTATCTTGCTATTTGTGTTATTATATGAGTGATTTCTAGTAATTCTCTCTTTTCACTGCTTTGATCGGATGGAAATGTATCATTGGGCATTTATAAATGTTCATTTAAAATAAATAATTTCCATATTAATAAAGAGCTTGAGGATTTTGGTGGTATTTGCTTCAATGTTTATGAAAGATCTTTATCCCTTTGTTTATTGTTTGTATGATAAGAACCTTTTCAGTTATTCCTGTAAGTAAGTTAGAATAATGATTAACCCTGTGGTTAAATATATTATGTGATGTGATGATAATTCGCTATCTCCTGATTACGGTTTAGTATGCAGTTTAATAGAAATGTGCTGCTATTTGTAAAGTAGCCATTGATATTTATATTATCAATCTCTTTTTAAAGAAACATTGTTGATTGTTGAATCAGATTCTCATAATGCAATTTGTGGATTCTTTTTAACAGAATAGATCTCATGTGTTTTTCTGTATCAAGTGTTTGCTTTGTTCAGATTTCCAGATCTATGAATGTGTTTGCTGGTGTTGAGATTTCCACTTCTTTCTGGCTTATAGTTTTTTGCTCTCTGGTATACAAGTTGGGCTGATGTTTGTTTATTCATTGATTTAGCAGTTATTTTCTGCGTCGAAGCCAAGCTGTTTGTGCTGCATTTTTGCGTTGCCAACTTTAATACCATTTCTCATTTCCAAAATGTCTCGAGTTTGTTGGCCTTGCTCCTTGTCTACTATATCGGTAATTGGTTGGGCTTTGGGCTGTTGGATAATAGTTTGGAGATTGAGATTAGAGATGTATTCTTGGGTTTAGTTTTATATTTTGACAAGGTTTTTTTTTATTTATTTGGGAGTTCGGATGTAAGTAAGTGGCCTCTTGGTATGAATTAGAACTTAGATAAATTAAGTTTTTTCTATATTATTTTAATGACAATTAATTCGTTCCCACTAAAAAAAAAGATGTGTTTTAACTTTTTTTCGATATCCATTTTTGAAATTAAATTACAGTTCTTCTCATATATAAACAATCAGAAAATTAGAGTAAAATTGTTATTAATCTAATCTTACACAAAAATGACGAATCATTAGATGTATTTAACTTACATCAAATAAATTTTTATATCAAGCCGAACTTAGTCAAATTCATTTGAAGTTCTTCTTTTCGGCATGTATGTGTTTAGGCTGAGCGAGACGATAGTTAAGTAAAATTCTTCCAGCGATACGTAGATTTTGTCTAACTGGGATAGTTTAGACGGGCAAAATATAGGCCTGGCCCATCTCTTTTGAAATCTAATTTTTAGTTTTTTATGCCTTTTACATGTTAGGCCTGAAATAGCACTAGCCCAGTGGCTATTTTAGCATTTGACAGGAAGAGAGAGAGAGAGCAGTAGTATCATTTGTATACCGGCAACGGATTGGCTCGTTAAGCGCAGGAAATAGAAACGCGAGGTTTTAAAAATGGCGTCGGCGATGATGCGATCTGGTCTTCGTAATGCTCTTCGCGGTGGCTCTAAGGTCTCTGCTCCTCCCAAGAGACGTTTTTCTTCCTCTGCTCATCATGACGAAGCTTGTAAATCTCTTATCTCTCTCTTTATTTATTCAATTTTGATTTCATTATCAGTCTTTAGGAATCAGATTTCGATTTAACTATACGGATTTTTTTTTATTCTTTTCCTCACAAGTTCGATTAATCGTTGAGCTGCGAACACGTTAGGGTTCCAAATTGATTATCGTATTTGATCTTTTTCTTTCCCTAGGGTTTTTCTTGTTTTTTTAATATTTGAAAATTATTGATTTGCTGTGTTATTATGCTGTTTGGTTAATAACAAATGTGGGGAATGAGCAAGATTGGAGATTGGACTTTTATTATCGAGAAGTCAACTTTCAATTGGGATATTCTGATATTTCAGTTTGAATTTTCTTGTTATACTTATAGGATTTGTCTTTTGTGTCCATTTTGGTTTATTTAATGTGGTTGATTTTGTAATTATTTTTCTTTCAATAAAATTCATCAGATGAGGCGGCAGAGGCATCAAAGTGGGAGAAGATAACCTATTTGGGCATTGCTACATGCACCATCTTAGCTATTTACAACCTATCAAAGGGCCATCCCCACCATGAAGAGCCTCCCGTAAGTTTTCTGTTCAACTGAAACTTTATTCTTCAATTGTTGTTAAGATTGATTTTTCTAGGAGTTTCTTCTATGTCTCCATTGGCATGTCTTGGTGGAGTAAAAAGCTTCTGGTGGTTCCTTGGTGACTGTATTGGATTAGATTTTGCATGCTGTATGCTTTTGGAATCTGACTGTTGTCTGCTCAATTTTGTGTACACTCATGCAGGCATACCCATATTTGCACATTCGCAATAAGGAGTTTCCATGGGGTATGTATTTAATGAGTTATTACTTGTCTGATTTGTTTTCTTTCTCACTAAAAATAATAATATTTTTTTTAATATTCTTATTTGAATCAAATATTCATCACTTAGATCGAGCTTCTTGGTTGTTTATTGAGTTCCCAAAATATGCCTCTTTGTTAGCTGTGTATACACTGTGCACCCAATTGGTAGTAACATGGCAGCTGACGGTAATTTGTGAGGGAGCATCTAACTTCACCAATGATGAACAACAATGCCCATGTGATTGTGGCATCATGTCTGAAGTGTAGAAAGGCAGATATTGCTTTCAGCATGCATGCTTCTGTTATGATGGAAAATACTGCCCAACGTTAAGTTGTCTGTTGTTTATGAGGTTAACATCTGGTGGGTGGTATTGTTTTAGGGCTTCGGCTATATATAAAGTACACAGATATCTCTTGTGGGCAAACTGAAACAACCCCTCTAATCAAATGTGGGGAAGTGCAGTTCAGTTTGTTTACTAAAGAATTTTCTGTTTTCCTTCATTGGAGATCTGTTACCATTAAGGTGCTGTGCCACCAAGAATTCTGTGCTTATTTTTGAATTCAAACTTTTCATGGCATCACTGAAGGTTGATTCATGGAGGCAATAAACAAAGCTTTAAGAAATTAAAATGATGTAAATTAGGAAGTTTACATTTTTGCAGATGTTTATGTTATGAAGCAAATTGTTTGGTTGTATTAGGATTAGAATGCATAGCTTATAGGTATCATTGTCATCTATGTTGGTAAAACATCCAGCTTGATGTTTGGTCTTATGGATGAGTTGAACTTCAATGCGCCATGAAGTTGGAGGGGTTGGTTTATGTAGCATGTTTTTTAAGTTGTTAACCTCCTGTAAGTGTTGTGAGGCCTTTCTTAAATAGTTAAATTCTTTTAATATGTTTACATGTCGTTATTATAACTGATCGTATAATTATTGTTTGAGTGTTAAATCTAGACTGGATGCTTGATAGTGTTTATCTTATATGCTTTTCCCCCTTATGTGCAGGACCGGATGGGCTGTTTGAGACAAAGAAACATTAAGTATTTGATGGCCGTTACATGAAGATATCTGAAGTTACCCTCTTTTAGTGCATTCCTTGTCTCGTGTCAGTTATTAGACTATCTCGGATGTTCTTTGAATTTGATGCTAGCATTTGCATTCCAATAATGTGGAATTTGTGATTTTGCAGTTAACCAAGTGCTAGTGCTTGTCTCCTATTTTTCTCACTTGTGCGCTGCTAAATAAAAACTGACCAATGACATCTGGTTTCTCTTTTCAATTTTTGTTGATTATCGATTTGTTAGCGAGTCCATGTTTGATGGTAAGGGTTTGGAGCCGTTAAAGTAGTTTTGCTATATGGAGTTCTTGCTATTGGGTGCTTAAGATGCCATTCAGTAGAATTTTGAAAGAAAATGCAATGGTAACTTGCGAAAAATGTTTATTGTAATGAATTGACCTGTTTAACTACTTTTTCTAGTAATGAATTCATTAGTAATGGGCTTCGTGTTGGGACTTTGTGATGAAAACTACAAAAGAGAAGTTTACTACTGCTCTACCTGAATCCAAGCCTAAAAGGGGAGGAAAATAAGAGAGCAGAAATCATTTATTTGAAAATTTGAAATGAAAAAGAAAATTAACACCAATGGGACTATATAGTTAAAAAGTAGTGAGAGAAGCAAAAAAGTGCAATCCTCTGGCTTCGTGAAGCTCACTACCACTGTGGACGCGGAACTCATTATCTCGCTCTCTGCTTATAACTCTCTATGTAATGTTAACAAGCACGCTAACCAGCTAATTGTTCTACAAGTACAAATGAATGAATTTGCATCTTAAGTTGCAGGGTGAACAAAACAAAGTCTCTTTCGAAAACCATTACAAATAATCCTATTTGATAACAAAAGAAAATAAAATGTAGCAGGACATTGGCAAGCCATATCTTGCAATTCATCATATGTTCATTGGCTCAGGAACAGAGGAATTTAATATATCCAATAGTGAATTCTGAGGCTCTAACTCTTCATGCCACAGGGGAAGTGCTTCGCCAGGATAGTAGTTTCTTGTCACTCCCTCTGAGTTAATCTGCATAATGCCACATCATACACAAAAAGTTAAGTCATTTCCTGTACTTTGGAAATGAGAAATTGCTATATTGCTTACTCCTGAAAATCTTACAATGACAGTGCGCACAACACCACCGCTAGCCCCATCTCTTGCCATGGCCAGGGAAACTGCCTTTACAACTAATTGCTGCAATGCATCAAAGAGCTTCTATGGTCAATCCTTAGGCACAAAGTTACTTGCAAATATATTTTTCACTACTTTGTAGCTCAGTTCTTCCATTGAAAAACCAAAATCCGTATCATCAGGGGAAGAGGATGCAAGGGGACAGAAGGGGAGTAAAGGTGAGAAAATCAAAGACTTTCATGCACATTTTAAATTTGCACTTCGCCAGTCAAACCTAACCCTAGTAATTCAGCACAGATTCGCTTTCAATAAAATAATTTCACAAGCGAAAACTACGGATAGAGTCCAATCAAACATCAAAACTGTTCATCATAAATCTATTCCAAAGTATTAAATAATTTTTTCATTAGCATTAACTACTATGTACCTCAGCTTCATCTTTTGTCATTCCTTCTTTCCATGCTTGATCAAAGAATCCATACAAATAAGTGGAGCCAGATCCTGAAAATCCCATCATTATGTTAACTTGTTTGACATTATATTAACATTGCACTAACAATATTTTCCATTTGCATCAATTATATTTAAAAATAGAATCCAAAAATCACAGGCGGTTACTTACTAAAGCATGAGGCAATTCAAACTGTTTTGATGCTCAAAGAAATATTAAGAAAAATAGATACATTGACAAGCTAAGAGCAAATAACTGTGTCATTCAACTCAAAAAACAAAACTGCAAGTCAAGAAAATATAGGCTATAAATAACATAGTACATTAAAACGAAGTCAAAGGTAAATCTAGATCAGATCAAAATGCACAGGTAATGGAAAACGCAATTAACCTACAATATCAAATTAACTTGCACCATCTCTGGCGCATGAGAATCCCCTGCTTTGCAAGGGTTCAGATCATCATTCATAGAGTAGAGAGGAAATATATACCTCCTATAGCAAAAGGCTGTTCTATTATTGTCCCACCAAGAGGAACTCCATAAATTTTACCACCCTCATACTTGTCCCATCCACCAACTATTATGCCAGTTTGCAGCATGTTCTGCAATGTGAACTATAGGAGGTCAAGCATGAGAAGGAAAACTCAAAATTGTGAACTCTTTGAAGCAAAAATTCACAACAACTTAACGGGGAAACCAAAGTAGCAAACCCATAACCCCCCCTACTCCCCCAGCTTTTTCCCTTCCTTTTGCTCTCTCTCACTTGAAAGTAAAGTAAACATAAACCTTATTGTTATAAGATAATAGCCTGACAAGATTTGCAGCAACTTTGACAGTTGCCGGCTGCCCTAGCTGTATTCTGTCCAAAAGAGTAATTTGTTATTCAGACAATGTAAACATACAAAGACAAGAAAACCATGACATGATTAAGATCCTGCAAAGTCAGCACTAAGTGCCAACAGAAGTAAAACATTCCAATCTGCACTAACTACACACATTTACAAATATATAAGCTTTATCAAAGTTATAAATCCTCATACGACAAAATTGTAAAGTAACAATAAGGTCATTATGTTATTACTTAAACTTTGACAATCATCCACACAAGCCATATAATTACTGCCTATAGATGAGTTGAGAAGTAATGGCCACAGAACATTCATCAATAGGTAAAACTTTTCATGGTGTCAGCTAAAAGGCCTTGTACTCTAAATGAAACCAGAATGCATACACTTATTAATGAAGAGATAAAGCTCCTTTAAATAAATGAATCAAATTTGGCGTAGTAATGCAACTTTGGATGTGATTATAATTCTTGCAAAGAGCCAACTTTTATCAATATTCCATAAGAATTTAGTATTATTTGCTTACAAACGTTAGAATCTAGATAAAAAAATGACATGAACCAAATTCAACATTTCTGGTTGAAAAAAAAAAATTACAGAGAAAAGATATGGATCAAAAGTTAATGAGAATTGATGAACAAACCTGACATAGAGTGATTGGACTAGTGACAAAAGCCAAGATTATCAAAATCCATAAAAATGCCAAGACAAAAATATAATAAGAAAATTAAAAAAGCACTCACGTGTGTTGATGAAGAAAGTAACGGACATAGTCAGATACAATTTGGGAATCTGCCGCCTGCAAAAGAAGATAGCATGAAATTAGCATTCACAGAAACCACCATAGTAATAAACATCATCTTCACTCAACTGCAATGAGTAGAGAAATAAGGATAGAGCAACTAAGTTATGAAAGAGAGATGGAAATAATACCGATCCAGAACGGCAAATGTAAACATTGTCGGTGAGCTGAGTGATTTTATCAGACGCCCTATTAGCAACATACATTCCTGGAAAAGTAACGCAGCAAATTTATAAAATTTCGTCAAACTCAAAATCTACAAACTTTTTGTTTGGAACTTCGACTGAGAGAATACTTCCACAACCAATTGATCAAATCTTTATCAGAAAAACAGAAAATTGAAATATTACCAGTGCTGGTGCGAGAGTCGGCGCCGAGGACAACGCCGCCGTTATAGGTGACGCCGATGATAGTAGTACCCATAGAGTGAGGGGCGTTGAGATCCATTAGCTTGGTAAAAGATAAGCCAAACTTAAATCAGAAACAAGAAGGATCAGTGAAGCAGAAGCAAAAGCAAAGAGGGGAAGAGGAGGGAGAGGGCTTTTGTATTCTCTATTCCTTGTGCCTTGGGAACTGACTTCCTCCTCAAGCCTATTCTTTTCTTCAGAGCAATTGGTTGGTTCGACCGGTTTTTGCTAACCGAACCGAATATTTACCATCGAAATTCAAGATATTTTTAACAAATTAGGAATAAAGTTTAAAACTTTATGGGCAGGTAACTCGTTAGCGTTTAAGGTGAAAAAACGGCGCCATCAGCTACTCCTCGAGAACCTTGAAGATTGAAAATAGCCTTAAAACTTTAATTGCTCCAATGGCAAAATATAAAAGTCTTTAATGAAACTTGAAAGCAAAGTTGGTTCACCTGATGCAGCAAGCTGTGTAGCTTTACTTTGACTGATTGAAGTAGATCGGTCAACTATGTACTTTGAAAACTATCTTTGCTTTACATTAAATTTTTGTTGCTTATATGAGATTGTACTCCAACAACATTGCTTACTTTCAAGTCACTTGCAGGAAATATGAGAGAAAATTAAAGAATAAAAGGGAAAATCTGACTTCTTGTTATTCAAATGCCAGAGGTTAGGTTGTCAAATTCAGGCTTCAGTAGGATTTCCATTTCAGATTTCAAAGTCATTTTACGTTTTGTGAGGATTTTAAGTTTCATTTATGGTTGCAAAGCCAAAACAGAGGTCATGGTAAAAAACAAGGAGCCATTTCTCTTTCAATATTGGAGCTTGACAGGATAGTATACTTGCATAGATGACTGAAAACTTTTGTGTTCAAGCCGGTACTTAGATATTTTCTAACGTTGTTATTTGAACTGTTGTTAAGAAAAATTATGTTAAAGATATTTTATTGGAAGCCAAACTTCAAATGTGAATTTGGCATATTACACTCATAAAAATAAAAATGACAGAAGCTGTGGCGAAATTTGGAATCTCTTATTATTATATATCAAAACCTTAATTAATTTTCTAAACTTAATTTTGTCTCAATTAAGCATACACAACAATAGTGCACTGTGATTGGAATAAAGCAAATAATCACCATAGAACCCTATAAATTGGCCTGATCATCTCAGGGTCAATAAAAAAAAAGTACAAAATCTTTACGACAAGAATATTTGGTTGCATACACAATTACTTAGTAGAAACTTTACTCAGTTGCATCATCCCCACCATTAATCCCATGGTTTCCTGTTTCCGGCAAGGTTCCCAAATCGGTTCGTGCCTCTTTTTCTTCTTGAGAAACTGAAGAATTCAATGAATCATTCTGAGATGAATTATTTGAGTCATTTTGGTTGACATCAGTGTTGCTATAAGTGTTTGAGGGTGCATCTTTCTCTTCTTGGGATGTTGAGGATTCGGAGGAACTAACTTGTTCTTGGTTTGCATCTGTACTGTCATTTGTATTGCTATTTTCATCATTTGCGTTGCTTTGGACTGAACTGTTATTGTCATTCTGACCAGCATCACTGCTGTTCGTATCAGCCTGCTCCTTTTGGTTTGTGTCTGCACTGCCATTTACATTGCCATTGTCTGTGTCGCTCTGAACTGCATTATTGTCATCATGATTCTGGCCCGAATCACCATGGTCATTTGTGTTTGAGGAGACATCAGATTGTTCCTTTTGGCCAGCATTACCCTCTTCATCTGTGTCCGAGGACACATGAGATTGTTCCTTTTGGCCAGCATCGCCATTGTTATTTGAAGCTGATGATGTGTCTTTCTCTTGGGAATTGGAAGAATCAATATGTTCCGTCTGCCCTGCTGCATCTGTATTTTCATCCTTATTTGTTGGTAGGACAATTTCTTGATTTCCCTCTCCGTAATTACTATCGGACTTTTCACCTTGAACAGAATCATCATTTTGGCTTCCTGATGAAGGTTCATTGGAGTTGACAGTTTGTTCATTAGACACAGTGGACTCTGAACTGTTAGAATCTGTTGATTCTTGATTAGTTGACTCTACATTCTCAGTTGTAGTGGAAGGCGTTGCATTTGAATCTGATTGCTGAATACTGGCATCTGAGTCAGATTTCTCAACAGATTCAGAATTGTTAGAATCTGTTGATTCTTGATCAGTTGACCCTATATTCTCAGTTGTAGTGGAAGGTGAAGCATTTGAATCTGATTGTTGGCTGCTGGCATCTGAACCAGATTTCTCAGTTTGATCCTTCACAGCATCATCTGCAGCTGACTCTTCTTTTGACATTGTGTTATCTTGTGTTTCACTTTGATTCTGTAGAGAGGAATCATTACTTTCTGAAGCAACCGGAATGGAATTAGAATCCACCTGCTGCTGCTCATTTGAATCTGTTGCTACTGTGGATGAATCATGGGAACCATTCTCTGACCCTTGCTTACTATTTTCATTGTCACCCTCTTCACTATCTGCATTGTTCTTTTCCATCGGTTCATTTTCTGTTGCATTTGCAACTTCATTTTGATTAACATCAATTGCCTCACCGGTATTTGTTTTACTGGCATCAAGTTCATTCTTCTCTTTGCTATCTACCTGTTCCACATCATTAGTTTTCTCGGAATTACCTTGCTCTTCTCCAGGTGTTAAATTTTGAGTATCATGGACAACTGCACTGGAAGCATCATCTCCCTTGTAATGCTCTTCTCTTGCCTCCTTATTATGTTCATCATTTCCATCGTTAACCTGATCTTCTGTTGAACCTGAATTTTCAATTTTATTTTCTGTCTCTTTAGTTTCATCCCCATCGCTTTTGTCTACAACTTCTTTAATTTCTGCTCCTTGACTCTCCTCTGCACTTTCCTTCACTTTACTTTCGTTTCCTTCACTCCCTTGATTCGCCTTATCTTGACTTTCAGTCTCTTCATTCTCCTTTCCTTCCTTTTCCCCATCCTTGCTTTCTGGAATATCGGTCTCTTTACTCTCTACATTCACATTTTCTTCACCGTCATCATTTCCTTTGTTCTCTTCATTACTCTTATCTTCACTAACATTCTCCTTGTTTTCTTCACCCTCCTTCTCCCCATCAGTTGAATCCCCGCTATGCTCAGTTCCATCTTCAGTTTTATCGTTAAACTGATCTTCATGAATTTCACCATCTCCATCCCCAGTGCCAACGTTGCCATCAAGCTTAGTTTCTTCTTCATTCTTGCTTTCATCTTCTTCCTCTTTAGGTCTCACATCTCTAACGACAGTTTCCTCGGCTCCAGGAAGGCCCTTTCTCCCCACAACCTTCATCATCTCATTCCTACTTTTGACACTACCCTCATATGCCACTTTTTTCACACCATCATCATATGCCACTTTCTTGTCGTGAGAGTGCCTGATTTGGTAAAGCAGCCAGATTCCAACACCAAGTAGAAGACATATTTGTAAAGCATGCTTTACCTTAAAACCTTTTGATCTCTGGCTCCTGCGTGGTGATGTCCGGAACATGATGCTTTTTCCTTAACTTCCCGCGATTATTAGCTGCTTGCTTAGTCTAAAGCAGTAACAAATTAATTAAAACCAATACATTCAAAATCAGCAAAAGAACTATTTTCATTCCATTGTTATATATCATGATCAAACCCCTAAGATAGGTAAAACTGACAACAAATATTAATAAGCATCAGTTGAACAAGAGATAATCTGATCTGTAGAGAAACTTATAAAGATCGAAACAGAACAAATACAGAACAGAACGGAGTTGCTTAAACTTATAATTATTCAAATGACAAAATAACTAGTGCCTCCCATCAAGATAAACTCCATCAAAACACTTAATCAACAGCAAGCGAGTACGTACACTATTCAATTTCACATCGGCAAACATGTAGAATGAATTGAGTTTCATACTAATCATTCCCATTCATGAATTAAAACAAATCCACTTCACAAATTAGACAAAATAAACTTGATACTTAAGAGATCTAATTAATCCTAACTTCAAATTAGAACTAGGAATGGCAAGAAATTAATTAGGAAAAAAACTTACTCGGAGAAAACAGAGCCACTAGATTCTGCAACAATGGAAACAGACAAAAAATGTAACAGACCTTTTATTTGGAGAACAATGTAGCCAAAAATGAATAAAGATTTAGACACTGGAACTGAGAATATAAATAGCACTGCTAAAACTGTAATCTTTTTTCCGCTGAAAAGGCCTTTATACTCTCAGATTGGATCTGGTAAGCCAAAGAAAGGAAACAGAGTTCTTCAAAACCACAAATGCCTTTTATTTATATAAAAAGTAAGTATTAATTATTAAAATAATGATATATGTGTATACAGTGTATTAATATCATTTATAGCGCGTGACACTTTAATTATTTAAACGATGCCGTTTCGGTAGCTTATTTCCAAAAGGCTTCGTGGCAATTCTAGTTCTGTTCCAGAAGCTTGCTACGTGTCCTTGACAGTCGGTGACCCTAATTTAACATATTATTATTCTTATCTTTCACGTTCGGTCGCCCATATTAAGTAGTAACAGAGAAGAAAAGATATCGTATCCAAAATTACCATTCAGTCCAGCCATGGCATCGAAGCTTCTAGCTTCCGCTTTCAGCCGAACTTTAGCAAGGACCACCGCCACTGCCGCTTCTCGTGGCTTATCCACCGCCGCGGCAGCCGTGGCGGTTCCATCACCCGGACCAGATGAGGATCAGGGAGTCATAACAGTCAAAGGAGTGAAAATCTCTGCTCGGCCTCTATACCTAGATATGCAAGCAACTTCTCCGGTGGACCCCAGAGTCTTGGATGCTATGCTTCCATACTATCTCGCGCGTTTTGGAAATCCTCACTCTCGTACTCATCTTTACGGCTGGGAGTCCGATTCTGCCGTGGAGACAGCCAGATCTCAGGTGGCGGAGCTAATCGGCGCGTCTCCTAAAGAAATCGTTTTTACTTCGGGAGCAACGGAGTCTAATAATATTTCGATTAAAGGTGTGATGAAATTTTACAAAGAGAAGAAACGACATGTCGTTACTACTCAAACGGAGCATAAGTGCGTGCTTGATTCTTGCCGCCATCTTCAACAGGAAGGTTTTGAGGTCACTTACCTACCTGTAAGAAACGATGGGATTGTCGATTTGGAAAAATTGCGTTCTGCTATTAGGCCTGATACTGGACTGGTGTCGGTTATGGCGGTGAACAATGAGATTGGTGTAATTCAACCGATGGAGGAAATTGGGAAAATTTGTAAGGAATTTAATGTGCCATTTCACACCGATGCTGCCCAAGCACTGGGTAAGATTCCAATTGATGTGGAGAAATGGAATGTTAGTTTGATGTCATTGAGTGGACACAAGATATATGGTCCCAAAGGAATTGGAGCTTTGTATATGCGCAGGCGACCTAGAATTAGAGTGGAGCCCCAAATGAATGGAGGTGGACAAGAGAGAGGGATACGAAGTGGGACTGTGCCCACTCCTTTGGTCGTAGGAATGGGTGCTGCTTGTGAACTGGCGAAGAAGGAAATGGAATATGATGATAAGAGAATTCGGGCTTTGCAGGAGAGGCTATTGAATGGAATTAAAGCTAAACTTGATGGAGTTGTGGTAAATGGTAGTGTAGAGAGGCGATATGCAGGGAATCTGAATGTTTCTTTTGCTTATGTGGAAGGGGAGAGCTTGTTGATGGGATTGAAGGATGTGGCTGTCTCTAGTGGGAGTGCCTGCACTAGTGCGAGCTTGGAGCCTTCATATGTGTTGAGAGCATTGGGGGTGGATGAGGATATGGCGCATACTTCAATAAGGTTCGGCATTGGGAGGTTTACCACAGAAGAGGAGATTGATAGGGCCATTGAGCTTACAGTGAAGCAGGTGGAAAAGTTAAGAGAAATGAGCCCGCTTTATGAGATGGTGAAGGAAGGGATTGATATTAAGCAGATCCAGTGGGCACAACACTGATAGACGATTACAGGAAGCTACAAATATAAGGTAAGTGAGACAGTTTGGAAAATGGATTTTATCCTGGACGAAGACGCCCCATCGAGCTGGAGCCGTCAAAACGCACGGGTTCTGATAGACGGGTTATCATACAGGTTCTTACTTTCTGCTGTACTTGTACATGCTCTTGAGAAGTTTCCTAGGTAAACTAGGTAGAATTTTGGTCCTAGTTGTTTTCTTAAACTTAAAACTATGTGGAATTATCTTCTATGTATGAGCATAACATAATTTAACAACAGGAATAATAAGGTACGCTTCCGCTGCAGATGTGGAAGTTATTTTCTGTTGTATCTTTACCTCATTGATTTCTCTTATGGTGTTATGCTTAATTCACTTGTGAATAGATTATATTTGCGCAGTCTTCTTGAATAGCAGAATGGCCATAAAATGTTAATATTTCTTGCAATTTGGTTTAAGTATGTTGAAGTTCTTAGAGACTGTAGACAAGCACACTGGACTCTCTTATAAACCAAGAAATATGTTGGAGCCATTTGTTTGAGCTTACTCCTTTAAATAACATAGCATAATATCACTGGGATTGTTCACGTTATTGCCTTTGATGCTTTTCGAACCTGTGAAAGGCATGGATGCTCCTACTTACAGGAGATGTGTGAAAGAGCATGTTGGTTTTGTTGCTTGCCATGATATGTTGAAGAACGGAATAGAGAGCCACTTGCCCTGTGAAATCTGACTTAACTATGCAATCCTTTGTTGATTGGACATTGGTAGAAGTTTAGAAATCTACTGTTTAGACTTAGGTATGTTGAAAGTTTGTCATTTTCCTAAATATTAGGAGGATCATGTCAAACTATTAATTCTGTTTTAATTGTCTCTTATGTGTTCACAGGCGTGAAGTGAAGTGTTGGTGCAAAATTTTGTTGGATAAACAAAATTTTAGTCTAAACTTTTTGTTAAACTGGGAAGGGTCACTTGATAGTTAAAAAACTGATGTTGATAGGCATAGTATGTTGACTTTATTAAAGTATTATAGCTACGAATTATGTCACAGGAGTGAAGTATGATTATATATGTATATTGAACTTGACTATATTTTAGTTCATAATTACCAAAAACCTCGTGACTCATAGTGCCTTGTAGCTTATTCATTCTCCCACATTTACTCAAGAACACTAGCCCATCAAGTTGATATGTACTTTAGAAAATGATGAGTGCCTATGCCTGCAGTTTTCAGAATTAATACCAACCCTTTGAAAAAATACACTTGGCCATTGTGTTAACTCTACTTGAAAAAAAGGATCTAAGTGCTAGGCATGTTTGAACTACAGGTCATAACTATAATTCACTAGTTTCAAGATTTTTTTTTATGAGGTGCTCTTTGGCTGGATGCTTTAAAAGATTATCGACATTTGTTTAAATAATGGAAGCCTTGAGAAACATTTTACAATTACAAGTTTTGGAAAAAAGGAGGAAATTGTAAACATGCTCTAATCCTTTTCTTCCCTTTTTTATTGTCATTTCTGTCACTAAGGCCAATGTTAAACGTGAGGACCTTTGGAAGAATGTAATGTCATAGATATAATCCAGTAGTATGGATAAGTCCCTGGAAAATTGAATTTTGTAATATTTCTCATGGAGTGGAAGGATGTCCCCGTAGAATGGGAATTATGGACCCCTTCTATTAAAGAGGGACCGAGAGCATATTTACTTAAATGTCTCATATTTGTTCTAAAGTTCAAGTAAACTCTTGATACTAACAGATGTGGCAAAGTCTCTTCCTCAAGGATATTTGTGTATGCTAATTCATATTCTCTCTCTCTCTCTCTCTGTGGGAAAAATGGTATTCGAAATATTGTTTTGAAACCTGCACAGGCACAGCTGCTATACTATGCATTTTAAAGACGTTTTACTGTTCTTATTGCTTGTAGCTTTAGCAGACAATGTGGTAATCATGGTCCATCAGAAGCCTTGCCCGATTGCTAGTGATAACCCCATGGTTTTGCACCCTCATTTTCTCTCTTAGATCTCTTTTCCCCTATTTTCTTGTATAAGCTCACTCTGGTCACCATCTACCCCTCTCTTGTAGAGGGCATTTCTCTCCTCACTGGCTCAACATTCCTTGCTTCTTTCTTGTTGTGCTTCTGGATGGGATTGTACTTGCTAGATTTATGTTGTTAAATGTCCTGCTGTTTGATCTTCATCTCTCCCCACCTTGTGTCTATGTCTTCACGACTCCAACGATAGTGGATGTTCTGTTTTCATTGCGTTCCAGGATCTGAATGCCTATATGCCAATGACACCTGGTTACTTGTACTACAGGAGTTTATTTGACTCGGTTTAAACACCTGTAATTATCAAATAATATTTTGTGGCTGTTTTCACTTTTCTCCTTGGCTTCATTTTATGTTTTTATCATCCCCAGTTCAAGAGGGAGCCTTTTTGTAACTTCAGTCTCCACACCTTAGTCATTCAATTACTGCTTTCTTCTCCTCAGCTGTATACGTATGATATGAATAAATTGATGGGCTTATAAGGAGAATGAGTCTTTTGTTATTTGTTCGTCTGTAATGTGAATCCGGGAGCCTCTATTGAGCTTACATGCTTGATTGAGACTTTGTTTGTGAGCAGCATATTTAACTTGTTTGAGCCCCATTTATTTGGCTTCAGGTTTTGGTAAATTATTCTTTTTCTGCACCTATCTTCAGCGAGATTAATTATTGTGTTAGTCTTGGTTCTGAGTAGTGGGGAGGTTATATATATTTTCATTCGATGGATATTGATTTTTGAAATATTTTTGTGCTCAGTTCCAACTGAGTTGGGCTGGAACCTAACTTTAGGCAGGACAAAATTTATTTAGGTTTGTAAGAGTGTTTTCAATGTTGCGAAGCATGTTAGTAGTAGTCTTACGATAAGGTCCATTGAGTTTAGACCAAGTTACTTTTTAGTCGCACTCATTTGGTGAAATCCAATTGTCTTTTCAAAAATAAGTCATTTTAAAACACTCTTAGGAACCTAAAACATGTGCATCTTGCTTTAAATTTTAATAAAAAGTCCAAAATATTTCATCTTATTTCTGTTGTATTTGTTAAACGGAAAAGATATTTGGCGGAAGTTGTATGTTGCTCAATTAAAATCTATTGGTGTGCATTTGCTCCGTTGTTGTCCTATTGAAATTGATGGTAATTTTTGACAACTACACCTCAAAATGAAAGAAAGAGAGCTTTTATATTCAAATATGGAATTAGGGTTAGATTTTGAAAGAAAAAACAAGTTTTGTATTAATTGTAGTTAATTAACTAGTTTTAGTTAATCAACCCAAATTACGTTAAATTAGTTGAAATTTACCATTTTGACCGAGGAAAATATATCATAAATTCTCTCTCTCTCTCTCTCTCTCTCTACTTCCTTTCAATTTTTTCTCTCATCATCTGCGATAAGCCTGTGTCTTCCATGTTTGTTGGAACGTTCCCATAAGATATGGAACGTTCCCATAAGATATACTATTTTGGATCGGAAGATATAATTACCTGCAGTAATTAGAAGGTGTAATACTCTCTAGTTGATACAATTTTGGTTAAGCTTGTTATTTGGATACATAACCTCCTGGGATTGGTCAAAATTTCAGTGGTCTCGTCTTCTTGTTTGCAGAGGAAAAAATATAAAAGAGATGAAAAGGTAAATACAACTTTATCCTTTATCTCCTGCGATCAGTTACATATTGCATATCTGAAATCATATTTCTTGCCTGCATAAATGGCTTTCTTTTTAGGTTTTGGATCAGAAGATCAACAAAGACAACACAGCAGCAGGCAGAAGCAAATCAACTCCTTCAAGTACTCTTTCTTACAAGTTTTTTATAACATATATAACAAAGGACAGGACAGCTCCTCCTCATAGGTTTGTGTTCCACATCATTCCCTAGTTATTTGGAGAATCTGATCATTTCTTATCCCTCAACTGGCCCCACCAAAATGCCACGTCAGAAGATCACCACTTGAATGCATCTGATTCACGAGGTAAGAATCGCATTTGGGCATATGGTAACTTGTAGAGCTATATCCAGTACCCTGATGCAACTATTTCTATAATAATCAACAAAAAATACGTGCTGTATCGTGTGAAAGAAATATTTAATATAACTGATATATATATATATATATATATATAGTAAAATTATATTTAAGATAACGGTATTTCATTATTTCATTTTAACGGCTGTTATGTGTAGTAAATTTTCTGGATGGATATAGTTGTATAAAGTTTGATTTATGTCCAGATACATAAAATGCTCTTCAACTTTACGCTTTTAATCAAGAGGCACATTCAATTTTGATCTATTGTTCTCCTTAAGTTATAAAATTACATTTATTAAATATATTGCAGAAAACTTATCATCTTTTATAATTATGAATTTTGATAATATTGTACATATCTATACACGAGCAACAATAATTTTTTACTGTACTTATATATAAAATATTAATTTAATATGCGGTTATCATAATTTTATAATAATAATTTTATATTTTTTAATTATCTAATAAGTGTTTAATTGATCTAATTTTATAAGTTGGAGCGTTTGGTAAAGAAATGTTATAAGTTTTAATAGATATAATTTTATAAGATGAAATGTTTCATAGAAAATAAAAATTAAAGACAACATAAGATTTTTTGCTTAAAGTATATATGTGAATTTATGTTTGGGCAAAAATTCATCTCTTCTTTCAAAATCATTTCCAAATAAAATATATCAATTTTTTTGTTTACATTTGTATTTTTATTACTGAACATTATGATCTACTGACGTTATTTTTTAAAAAAAATCTAAGAAGATATAATATTATGCAAATACGCAATTTTCTTGAAAAAAAAGGTGTATTATACGATATAATACTACTATGAATACGCAATTAATACTAAAAGTGACCTTTTCTTTTAGTATGAGTTTGGAGTTGGAGAGAAATTAAATAATGTTTGTTAGAATACAACACCACAAGAAACAAAAATGTGAAAAGGGCATTGGGAATCAGAATCCATTTGGCACATTTGGCTGATCAACATCAAGGCTTTGCACCAACATTCTCTTTTTTTCATGTTTTGTAGAGATTTTTCCATGGCCACACGTGACTGTTCTCTGTTCTTTCCTCTGAATCTGAATCTACTTTAATATCAGTCTCAAAGTTTAATGTAGCTTCATGGGGCACCTTACTTTCAATCAGAAATTTTTTAAAAGATGAGCTCTTGAGCTCTACACAGATGCTGATTGGCTTTCTTCTTTCATTTTCAAGCTTTAGCAGATCGAAAAGGAAATTATTTTTAGAAATGTTCTCATATTATTATGATTAAAGGACTTGATTCTTGTAAAACAAAAAAAAAAAAAAAGAATTGATTTTTTTTTTTAATCTCAGGTTATTGGATTAATAAAAATCATTTCATTCTTTAACGGACTTTATAAAAGTTTAAAATCTAAATTACCATTATATATCTGGAGGCTACACAACAAAAGGTAACTCACTTATTGACTCACTAAATTGATAAAAATACTTATGGTTCAAATAGCTCAAACTTGAAACCTCTTACTTTTCACATAAGTGAATATAACAATCAGACTATTACTTGATATTATTTTGACAGGCGGCTGATAGAAAGACGTTATAATTATTATGTTTGGCATTTATCAAATTCAAACTGAAGATTCTTTTGTGGAAGCTATTGATTTCAAAAGCTTTATGATAATTATGATCTTTTAACTGATAAAGAAGATTCTAACTTTTTACCTTTAGATTCAATTATTTGAATTATTGTAAACATTGTCCTAAAGTCAAATCATGCTTCTATGTATGGTTTAATTATTAGGTTAATTTTGTTACTAAAATTTGAGACCAAGCTTTAGGTTGCATAGGTATCCTTTTACCTGTTCAAAGCATATCCATTTTTTATACATCTAAAAGGTAAAAGCACGTGAGATTATTTTGTTTGATTCAATAATAAATTAAAATTATAAAACAGTTTCTAATTTGAACTACTGGCAATTTGAAACTAATAAGTGGAACTTGGAATACATATTATCAAATGTTTTACAATACGATTTAGTTAAAAATATTTCATAAAAAACTATTATTAAAAAAAAAAATATATTGTTTTGATTCAATAATAAATAAAATTAATAAAAACAGTTTCTAATTTTGAACTATTCTGGCAATTTGAAACTAATAAGTGAACTTGGAAATACATATTATCAAATTTGTACAATACGATTTAGTTAAAAATATTTCATAAATAAACTATTTATTAAAAAAATAAAAATATATATATATATACTATGATAATATATATAAGGTTGTTGGTAATAATTAGTTATTTTGATAGTTGTTAGAATATATAAGGTTTGTTTGGTAAAATTAGTTATTTTGATAGTTGTTAGATGTTTTAGTAGCACTTACCTGTTTGAGTAACTTTTTATAAAACACCTACAAATAGAACGCTACATTGAACTTCTAAAGTTAATTTAATCGCTATGTTATAGAAAAATAAAAAAAAATAGCATTTAGTCAAAATGCTGAGAATAAGTTAAAAAGTTGTTGCCGAACACATCCATAGTATATGATTATATGATTTTGTTTAATAATTAAACTTTTTGTTAGTTTTATTCTATAATAAAAAATCTTAATTTATAGGGAAAAAAAAATTCTCTCTCCATTCAATTTTAATACCAACAAATAAGCATTTTACTTAGTTCCACCCTAAGTGCCCATTTAGGATTTTGAGAGTATATTAATTAAATTTTTTTAATTTTATCCATATTTATTAGATGTTTTGTAGCAAAATTAATTGGAAAGCTTTTAATTTTAAGAACAATTTAGAGATTCTACGATGTGTTTTTAAAAAATCAGCATGTTTTAATCATTTTCTTAATTTTTATAAAAATATTAAATGTCGGTATTAAAGTGAAAGGAGGGAGTAAAAATTTTAAGGGTAGGCAGTGAAAATAAAAATTCAGGAACTTAACAATCAAAAATTTAATTCCCACAGATTTGTGCTTTATGATTGAAGACACATCAAACATATTCTATGATAACTTTCCCAAAAGAGAGGAACACCCGATTGTTTCATCTACAATAGACAATGCATTGTGCCATTTTGTTGTTCCTCCAAAGACTAGTCTTTCATAAGGACTAGACTTCTTCCACTATTGTTTGATTGATTTGGGTTTTCTCTAAGGCTCCTGTTGAGTCTTGTCTACAAGAAATGTGCATATGACTTTGTGGTAATAACTAGGTAGCTATGAAGAGAAGAGACAGTGTATCTTTATATATTAATATAATACATACCCATGTAGCTTCCTTTCACCTTTTGCTTGTTAGATTTTGCATTTCCTTCCTTCCTTCAAGTCCTAAACACAATGATTTTCTTTTTCCTTCTTCTATCCTTTCACTTCTTGTTAATTAGGAGTACATGAAAAGAGAATCCAATCCTGCAGGCTAGTTATTGAGTGTTTATTGGCCCAAAATAAAAGGATCTTTTCTCTACATACCTTACCAAAAATCATATCATGCACAAAGACACATGAAATACATTTATGAGGTTCCGTTTGCGGGATGTTTTGAGAAACTGAAATAATTTGTAATTCCTTACACGTCAAGCGATACTGAACTCAACCCGAAACCTGGGTTTTGGACAAGGATCGGATCATCGGGCAGTGAATGACCATGACCCACTGTTTGATGTATGCATCGTCGCTTTTTAGATTTCTTCAGGATCTCGAAATCAAACGACGCCGTTTTTGGAACAAGATATGAACTCCAAACTCAAACGGTTCATCCTTTCATTACCAAACTTAATTTAATTCCTCCTTTTAGACCTGTTATAGACCATATACTATTCACATTACTCAGTGTGCATAAGTGAAACTGTGTAGTTCTAAGATACATATTTGAAACTCAATCTACTTATTACCAACAAAATACTAAAAAGGAATCCAGGACATGGAACATCTCAAGTTTATGGGCTCTGGGGAGAGTTGATTTTCGGAATTGGGAAATGGAAGAAAAATTAATTTTCACTAAAATTAATATCAGTAATTACATTCTTAAAGAAAAAGAATGGAAAAATGGTCACGGGTTGAAAATTAAATCGCCACATTTGCATTTCCAACTCATAGGCTTGTAGTTGGAAGCACCATCACCTCTTGCATAAGCAATATTTGAGACAGATGAGTAGTTTCTATTGCCATGATTTACTTGGGGATTTGTAGGCACTTGAATTGCCTCACAATGTCCACAAGAACTACACCTTCTCTCACATCTTGGAGGCCTTGACCCTATCTGGGATCTCATTATCATCTTCTCTTCATTTTCTGTCTAACCAAATTTGAAAAAACACTTTCTGTCAATTTTTCACTTTTCATATACAAACCAATATTCTGAATAAAATCTGAAAGAAAGAAAAGCAAAAAACAGTAATGCTTACCCCTGAAACGCCAGCTGATTTTGGATTAGCTCGACCTGCAAGACAGAACCACAAACTAACTTCACTAATTGGTTCTCAGGGTAGTAAAATTATGAGTTTGAACTCTAACCAGGGCCTAACTAACCGAAAGAAAAAAAAAAAATCAGTAACAACCATTAGTGAACTTTGACTTAATGGTATGGGATTTGTATTAGGGTTATAACTAATTAGAAAGAAAAGAAAAAAATTTAACAACAATCTATTTACCTTCTGCCTTGAATCTGAGATGGGTAGAGCTTGAAATCAAGAGAAAAAGGAAAGAAATGGAGAGACAGCGAAGTCTTTGACACAAAAACAGATTGGGAGGAGTAGTAGTACACCCCATTCTCAAAATAGAAGTGAAAACAGTACAATGCAAAGAACAAAGACCTTAAGAAATGGAGGAGGGAGACAAAGGGAAGTCAAATTTATATATAATAACAAGATAAGCATATAAATTATCTACATACTGTGTGTTGTAATAGAAGAAGAAAATCAGTAATTGAATGACACATTATTGTAAAGCGGCTTTCTTTCTTTCTTTCTTTCTTTTTCAAAAAGAAAAGAAAATATTTTCTTTCATCTCACATCTGAGTGTTGAGGTGATAGAACAAGGAAGGACAAAAGAGAGAGAAAGAAAAAGAACACCAAACAAGGCAAGAACCTTAACCTTGGTTATTGAGCCCCAAAACCCAAGCAACAAAGATAGATCATATAATAGAAGAAAGAGAGAGACAATATTAGTGTTAGTGTTTGTTAGCTAAGAAAGCATAGAGAGAAAGATAAAGGGCAATAAGGACCCAAAACAGCATAAAAACACTACAAAATTCTATAACAGATATATATGAGAGACAAGTTCTCACTAACTGACATTTTATTACAGCTATGAATATTTTGGGTTATCGCTTTCAACTACGCTTATTTCATGCCTTCTTTTTTCTTTTCTTTTTTTTTTTTCCTCCTTAAAAGTTCTCACTAATATAATAAAATAAATATTATCAGGGATTTTTTTTTAATTTGTTATAGACGATGGGGTGAGCAGTGCCATCTTGTCACGCCATGTGTATCTATACAGAAAGAGAAGAAAGGAAAGTCTCTGGGAATTCTGAAGAGTAGTAAAATGGCTACACCTCGTATCTCTCTCTTCAATCATGTCACTGTAATCACATGTGATACGCCCATATCACTCTCATAACTATATATTATCTTTTTTTTTTGTCCTTTCACAGACCAAAGTAAACAATGGATGGCTACTTGACTGCTTCTGCTTTTTTGATTCATATCCTTGCAGCTGGGCTTTGGCCCAAACAATCATTACCATTTGCATTTTGGATCTTACAATTTTTCTACTCATGTTATTTTCAACTAGATATATATACACATAATAATTAAGGGTGCATGAATCGGCCGCGACGATAATTTTAATCCCATCTCAAAATTTTTGTTTTTGTTGTCTTTAAACTTATTTACATTTGATATTTACTTGATTTAATTCCAAATATCATCTGAAAAGTAAATAATGGTACCATTATATATAAATAATAATCCAGTAATCAGATTTATTATAATTAATATCTTCTCGTGTATTAATTAATCTTTTCATTTTTTCTTTAATAGAAAATTTTATTCAAAGAGATGTATTTAACCCATATTGTATATTGAGAAATTTTATGTTGAAAAATATGTTTAATTAATTAATTAATTTTATATTTAGAAACATTTATGTTATTTTTTTTCATATTCTTACTTCTTTAACGAGTAATTGTTATCATAAAACAATCTAAAAACAAGAAGGAATGATTTTCATGGACATAATCTGAAATTCATAAAAAATAGACTCATAATTTTAAAGAAAAAATAAGAGGGGAATACCCGATCTTTAAGATTGGACGGAATGAGATGCAATTTGATAATCATATTGGATTTTGTTTGGATAAAAAATTCAAGACAGTTTTTGAGAATGGATTAAAATTCTCGCACACACCACTAATGATAATATAAGGCTAATTGTTAAAATTGCCTTATAATTCTAAGATTCACACTACTAGTCCTTTGGTGGCTAAGAAACATGTTTCTCATGGCTTATACTAGTCTTTTGGTGGCTTAATATCGAGTGTATATAAACCTTATCTAATCAGATCTGTTAAAATTGCCTTATAATTCTAAGATTCACACTACTAGTCCTTTGGTAGCTAAGAAACATGTTTTTCATGGCTTATACTAGTCTTTTGGTGGCTTCAATGTTGGTTCACACTACTAGTTTTTTGGTGGCTTGAATGTTTCACACTACTAATCTTTTGGTGGCTAAGAAAATTCAATGTTGGTTGGCAATATTGGTGAGCTAACTTGGACTAGGATGACACATCTTCAACAATGAAAGGAAGACTTGAAATTTGTTCACATGGTGATACACCTTTATATAAGGCAACCTTGCTTGGAGCAAATTCATAAGATTAAACAAGTGAAATTCATCCAAGAGAGAAATCTTCCAAGAGCATTTCTCTAAAACTATCCACTTTCTTCATATACCACCTTTTCATATATATATACACTCTTGCCATATTCATTGAGTGTAATCAGGTGTTATCTTGAGTGTCTTTTGTATGGATGTAAAATCATTTGTATCTCCATATTTTTCATAGTGCATTTACTCCTCTCTCGCCCGTGGTTTTTTCCCTCTACATTGGAGGGTTTCCACGTAAATCTTGTGTCTCTTCCATTTATTATTTTGCTTCTCATTTTATCATCAATTATCAAAACTAAATATTTATTCATTACCACGCTAAATTCCGCAACAAGATCAAACCATTGATACAAAAAGAATAATTTATCTACAAACTTCTAATAATTTTGATTTTTATTTTGATTTTTATTTTTATTTTATTATTATTTTTTTTTTTTGCATTGTTGGCCTAAGTTACTTACATGTACTGGTTGCATAAAATTAATTAGGAAAACGATTCTTCGCTTCTAATGAGTTAAACTATTCATTTTATTTTTTATTTTGCCCTTAATTTATAATTACGGATTTAGTTTTTGAAGGGGGAGACAATGAAAATTTAAAAATCAAGGGTTCGTGAAATAACCCGAATTTTTATTTTTAAAGATTTTTCATTTAAATTTAATAAACCGACAGCCTGGAAAATTCATAGTAATATTTTAGTACGAGCACTGTATTGTATATGAAACGAGAGTCTTGCCACACCATATTCGTCTTCAAGGAGCAGCCTCTAATATAGTTGGCCACCAATTAAGAGGTCGACAGGTACGCCAGCCATTCAAACTCACCTTGATGAGTTAATTCGCATCATGCAGTTTGATTTGGAAACATTTTAGGAATGTTGAAATTAATGAATGAAGATAGAAGGCTGTTTTTGTTAGTTTGCTCACTCCGTCGATCTTACCGTAACTTTAAAGATATTATGTTAATAAGGCGGTGGTAATGAAGACCCTAACCCTTTGAGATGTCAAACAAAATCTCTTGTCAAAAAGAAAAACTATGAACTATGAGATAAATCAAAAGGATGAAGCTGCAGGTTAATTTGTTAGGGGAGAACTATGGATCACAGTAGTAGCAGTAGAAGTAAATCGCAGCATCAAAGTCTAGAGGGCCGGTGAGATAATAAGAAATTTGTCGCTGCTTGCAAGAACAAAGGGAACATGTAATTTTCAGAAGTGTTTTTGAGTTGGAAAAATAAGCAGTGCATAACAGGGCGAAAACAATAATCATGATAGAATTCATAAAATTCAGCTGAAGCAAGTATTTGCACACAAACGAGTCTGAAGGTGAAAGTTTTGTCTGTTACCTGATCTCTTTGCGAACTTAGATCTAAAACGAGTGATTCTAAGAATTCTGCTTGTTCCTATAACATGTGCCCCATAAAGATTGGTTTACTACTTATGAAAATTCTGTTGAATTGTGTATTTGGTCTTAATGGGAATATATGCTCAGGTGGGTAAAGTTGTGAAGAACAATTAGATTAAAAATGCATGATGGGCATGATTAGAACTTTAACCGGTGTTAGACATGTTCCCTGAACTTGAAACGGAACCTTAATCTCTCTTGCACCGCTGGTAGTCCGTCCCTTGGGTGTAATAATGCAGCTGGACGGTGGAGTTCTAAAGGTCCTCTAAAGGTGCCCCTTTATTTTAATGAGGCGAGATTCTTATGTTATTATCTTGTGATATGCTTGTAATGTGTTGCAGGATCTATCTGTTATAAGTTTCCTGCACTGCTGTATGTCATTATCTATGTCAGATTCAGACGTCACAAATATTCTGCATACTGCGACTTGGCCAGGGATGAGTGAAAAAAGGAATGATCTTTATCTCTGAGTCATAGAGAGGTCTTTTGTGCGGCGTCAAATAACCGGTAGGCTTGGAGGAGTTCTGTGAACGATTGCATTTGGCTCCGGTAAAACAGAAAGAATTAACTTCGGTACCAGGTTGGGGGAACATGAACCTATAAGGTACTCTTGATATATTCATTTTCTAGGGTTATTCTTTTGTGCACTCTCACGTTTTCGAGTCAAACGGAGGACTGCGTTACGATGCAGCAGCATTGACTGCCGCGGATTTTTTCTTGGCGTGTGTGAGAGAGCTCGGGCTTATTTGTTTAAGGAGCACAAAGATGAAGTTTTTTCCCACTTTTAAGAAGTGGAAGGATTTTGATGGAAAACCAGAAGGAAGAAGGGTCAAGCGACTCAGGACCGATAATGGTCTAGAAATTTTGTGAGGCGATTTCAACGCATTCTTGCGAAAATGAAGCAAGTGTGAGACACCGTAGAACAGGTGGCCGTACGCCTCAACAAAATCGCGCGTTGCAGAGAGAGGTGACCACAGAGGACATTGATGGAGAGAGTTGTTGCAATGCTCTCTAAATGCTGCCTGCCTAAAGCAATTTTTGGGCCGAAGCTGCAATCTACCTGCATGTTATTTGGTCGAATCGTTCCGCACACACATCACTCGACTCAAGATGAGAGAGGTTTGGTCAGGTAATCCTGTTGATATATTCGAATTTGAAAATTTTTGGATGTCTGCCAATATGCACATGTAAATCAGCGGAAAATTAGAGCCTAAGCTCGAAAATGCAATATTTATTGTTATAGGCACTGGTGGTGGAAGGGTATCCTTGTGGTGTCCTGAAACTTTCCTGAACTTAAGAAAGTAATTATCAGTAGAGACGTTACTTTCAATGAAAATGTGCTAATTCTCCCTGAAAAAGAAACTGTCAGTTCTTCTCCGTCTGACACAGGTGATTCAAAGAAAACTGACGAGAAGGTGGAGCTTGAATTTGAGATACCAACTCATAGCGAAGAGAATATTTCCTCATCTCGGATCACATCGGAGGTTCCTGATTCCACTGAACCAGATCGTCGTGAAAACTATTCTATTGTTAGAGATAAATCCAGGAGAGAAATCAAACGGCCTGAAAGATATAATGAAGGGAATTTGGTTGCTTATGCTCTTGCTGTTGCAGAGGATACAGTTGAAGGTGGAAAACCTCACATATACTCTGAAGCAATCTCATGTCCTAATTCTTCTGAGTGGCAAGTTGCGATGCAAGAAGAAATTGAATCTCTGCACAAGAATGATACTTGGCAGTTGGTGAAATTGCCAAAAGGCCAAAGAGTTGTAGGCTGTAAATGGGTCTATAAGAAGGGATTTCTATAAGAAAGATATATGTATATTAGGCAATCCCGGAGTTTGAAGATGCAAGAGTGATTTAAGAGCTTATTGTTTGATGCGTAAAGGCTACCACTCAGAAGAGCATTGTACGCCATGCATGATGTTTGTCTCTCACTGTTGTTCGTCAAAGACCATGACGTGTACTTCTGTGCCCTTGTTGCCTGCAGGATCTTTTGAATTAGAACAACTGATGTTAAGACTGCTTCTTACATGGAGAGCTCGAGGAGCAGATTTAATATGCACAAGCAAGAAAGGATTTGTTGTTCCTGGACAAGAAGACTATGTTTGTCACTTGAAGAAGTCTCTTTATGGACATAAAACAGTCCCAAAGAAAATGGTACGTAAAGGTTTGAATTCCTTTTATGGTTGAGCACATCGGTAATTTTGTCGTAGTCAGCTATGAATAATTGCTGT